AGTATAAATGTCGAAGAATCGAAGCTTGTTTTTCTATGCTGCATACAAACAATTTTCTCCTTACTACACTGTTTGAGATACAGCATATGTCTAGTTATCATACAGTTATTCTCAGGAGACCACCTCCTCCCTCCTCCAGCTTTCTTCTCCTCCTTACTACAGCTCCTCCCCTCCTCCCTCTGCTTTTCCTCCCTACCTCTCCTGCTCTTATTTAATGTCAAGGCTAAACTGAATATTGGACAGAAGTGGCAAGTACTTCATAAAAAGTACCCAAATACTGTAAATTCAGGACCAGTTTAGTTTTGGTTTCAATTGCTTCGTAAAGCTGTGTTTATATCTCTTCATATTATTGACTAGTTTTTATTTTACTATTGAGAAGTGGCTCAAGTATAAATTCAATGCAGAACTGAAGAACATATAACAAAATTGTCTAGCAAATGCATTCCAAACAGTGAGGAATATAGGACTGAAAAGCTAGGTTATTACTGCTGGCTTTTGTTTATCTGACAACAAGCTGTAGAACAGTGTCGTGCTCAGCATAGCTTGCCTTGCCACGTCTCTGCACACAAGTCACGTGTTCCACTAATAGAACTTCAGCCTCATCTTGAAAATTGTTTCTTTGGTCCTCACTGTCTAGAGCTCTAGTTTAGGTCATTTGGGGACACTTCAGAATATTGGTTTTCACATGGTGGTGGCAGCAGTGCACGCCTTTGATCCCAGTGCTTGGGAGGCAGAGGCAGGTGGACCAGCCAGGTCTACAGAACAAGTTCCAGGACAACCAAGGTCACTCAGAGAAACTGTGTCTCAAAAAAACAAAACAACACAAAACAGAAAAGAGGACTATTGTTTGAAGGCCTGCCTGAGACTTGTGGTCTTATGCCACCCGTTCATATGTATATCCCTTCATGAAACACGGCCACCAGTGCCTAGCCAACCCCTTCTCTGAACTAAAATTGGCTCTTTCCAGCTCAAGCCTTCATTTTCCTCTTCTGTTGAATGGCACACATTTTGCCCTCCTGAATGCAGCGTGGACTCTTGACCAATAAGGATGGGCTTGACACTCCAACCACTCACCCGCTCAGAGGCTTACAGGCTACATTCCACTTCCTCTTGTGGGCTGAGATAAAACTCTCATGCTGTGATATTAGAATTACCTGCTGCCTTTTTCCTTTTAAAGATTTACCAGGTGAATATTAAAAGGAAAAAACAGCATATTTTGTTATAAACATATTTTACTATAAACAGTTTTTCAGGGTGGTACTCACTTTTATCCAAGTTTTCCAAAAGTCATCCACACACAAATGTTATCAGAGCCAAGTCATTTCCTAGCCCTTGTTTCATGTTATATCTGACAAGTTTCTAAAAACAAAGTAAGTTCTGTGCTGATTTGCTCTTGGTTCTTTGTATCTGTCTTTTCCTAAAGGTGTAAAATGGTCTGTCTGAGCATGTTGCTGCAACATTAACAACACCTAGGCATGAAGGTTAGAAGTTAGGAGTACTTGCTGATTGAGTTGTCATAAAAAAGTTGTGTACATTATGCAAAACTATTAATAGAGGAATTTACTTCCTCAGGAAGACATATATACCCTTTAGATATGTCTCATAAAGTCTAGTGATGGCTTGACAGCTATAACAGACATCAATCACTAAGATGTATTTAGTTGACCCTTGAAGCAACAATAGTACTACAGGAAGAAGAGAAGGAATTCACGCCTTTCTTGTGTTCAGAATCTCCTCTGACAATAGCTTTAGGTTTCCTAGCAGGTAATTTTAAAAATTGGGGTAGGGGTCTCACCTCTCTGCCCCCTAAGTATAGGGCATGGCCAGCAGCCTCCGGCTCTGCCCTCAGACTACAGTGGTTCTCAACACTACCTTCCCGCTGTGTGGACGGATACTCACATCACGAACTAGAGTAAACTTTGCTTCCTTGTCATGTTGTTTTTGTTTAACAACAAGAAAAATACCTAACACACATGGTAGCATATTTGAAGGATATTTTCTTATACTCTTAGTTCAAGTAGTAGTATTTTATTCCATTTAGGGAGAAAAGTTTGTTTGTTTGTTTGTTTGTTTGATTGTTTGTTTTTGATTAAACATTTTTAATGTCCATAGAGAAGGATTGCAGTTGAGAGCCCAGGCTGCTCGTGGAGCTGTCAGTGACAGGCATGGAGTTCCCTTTCAGGGCAACTGCAGCTTCATCTTTCACTGGACCCCCACCTCCCTCTCTAACCCAGAGCCTCACATTTGCCACTAATCTGCATGCCTGACCCAAGTGTGTTGTTTAGAAGGAATAAAATAGAGATGTAACAGTGGAGAATGAACCGAGAGAAGGCCGAAGGCATTGGATTTTACCGTGTCCACACAAATGTTTCTCTGTCGAGTTAGTCTTTAGAAACCCTGAGCCATGTTCCTTAACCCTTCCCCTCTCCTCGATTTCCAGTCTTGGAGCTGCACCCTGAAGGTTAATAAAGCGCAGGGAAGAGTAGCTTTCCACTCCCACCAACTTCCTAATTCCCTCATTTGGGCCTGGGTGAGGGGCAGCCCGTTTGTCGCCCAGACATCTGTACTTAATGACATTCCTAGCCTACAGCGCTGGCCGTTGAAAATACAGATGTGGTTAGTCCTGTTCTGACTTACTAATCTGTCTTCAAATCGGACAACCTTCAGTGTGGCAACAGTCTGTTGGGGCAGTGTTCTGTTTTATGGACCGAGAAGGCAAGAGCATTCAGACATTCTCTAGGACAGCAGTTCTCACCCTGTGAGTCATGACTCCTTTGGAGGTGAATGACCTTTTCGCTTGGGTCGACTAAGACCAGTGGAAAATACAAATATTTACATTACGATTCTTAAGAGTAGCAAAATCACAGTTATGAAGTAGCAATGAAAAAAATTTTAGAGTAGGGGGTCACCACACATGAGGAGCTGTATTAAAGGCTCACAGCGTAGGAAGGTTGAGGACCACTGCTCTGTACATATATCAGACTGATGTAAGGCAGGCCTTCCCATCTGTGCGCATGCCCCCTACAGTCTGAGACCTTCTTGGGAAGACATCTCTTGTGTGCCCTTCTGGTGGAGAATCCTGCTGCTGGAGAATGTATCTAGTAGGAGGACACAACCCGCAGACAGTGAGGGGGACAGAGAAGGCCACAGTTTGCTCAGTCTGAGCAAGGGTTGCACCTTGCTCCTCCACGCTGAAAGGGAAAACTAAGTATGGGTACACGGAGAGGTCCTTGAGACCACACAAACCATAGTTAGTGCATGCATTTTGAGTTTTAGAATTAATGACTCCTGGAAGCTTAATGCCAACCATGCAGGCACTCTGGTAAAGCAGTGACAGCGCTTCAATCTCCCCAGAGAAGTAGGTAGGGATCTGATGGCTCGGTCTCAGTCCCGTGCTTGTGGATGGAAGAGTGTCCCTTTCTTTAGGATTTACTGGGGAGAAGGTAGTCCTATACAGTAGGTAGCAGCCAGTTCTCTGCCCTAGGATTGGAAAAGAGGGAAGTTTCCTGCACTCTGAGGACACCAGGAAGAGACAGAGCCTGTGAAGAGACAACTTTTAGGGAGCCACCAGGGAAGAGAGCAAGAGATAAGATGGTAGAGGAACCCAGAGAAGCAGGCATGGTGTGTTTGGTCTTGGTCAGCCCTGAAGAAAATGCAGTGACACTCAATGAGAACAGAGTGCAGACACTGCATGCTGTTAGCAGTCCTCGTGCTTGAGGAGGGATGGAGATCAGAAGACAGCCTGCAGGGAGAGGTTCTTTCCTACCATGTGAATCCCAATATCAAACTCTCCTCATCAGGCCTGAGAGCAAGTGCCTTCGCCTACTGAACCAGCTCGCTCTCCAATTTGTAGTTTCTAAAGTGTGTTTTACACACTGTGTTTGTCATTGACACAGCCATGATGCATGGTGCAGACACTGAGACCGAGCCTTTGTTTGCCTTGCTCTAAGCTGTACTGCTAATAGTGGATTCAAACCTGAGCTACGGTCTCTTTTCTCTACTGGCAAATCTAATCAGGAAGACTTTCCAATGGGAGTAGAAAGATTTGGAGGATCTACATAATTCCCTAATTATTTTTAGGTTCCATAAATTAGGCTTTAACAGATTTTTTAAATACTGCATAAAATTGTTTTTACAAAAAAACAGTTACTATGGTCAGGGAAAAGCAAGCTGATTGTGAATACCAAATTAAGTTACAGTTTCGTTTGAATTTTTAATTTTTTTGCATTTAATTATAATGAAAACATGCAGCGTAAACAAGGATGTAATTTATTCAATTTACAAGTAATTGGCACATTGCTTTTGTGTTGTTTTCTAACAGGTTGTGGCTGTGTATGTTACGCTATAAACTTACTTCACCATCCTTGGAGGAACTCATTTACACATGTACTGATAGCTATGCGTCTTTTCTCTTGTAAGCATGTTTTACAAGGACTCTCATGCTGGTGGCACATCTTCAGCTCTGGGAGTTTGAGTCCAGCTCCTCTGTACAAAGTCAAAGCTCAGCCACTGACATGCTCTGAGGGCCTGATGGGACTGCTTCCCCTCTGTGTTAAGTCATTGAATTCTGTGAACAGGTTAGGTCAAGGCTCCTGTTATTTCTTCCTCAGAAGTGTACAGACATGTTCCAAATGATGCTACTGAACTCTGAGCAATAGGACCTCTCCCCACCCCCTTATCCTAGTTTAGAGAGTCTCTTGAGTGGAAACTAATTGTGCCATAGGATACTCGGTTTCATAATCTATATTTTTTTAAATGTCTGCGAGGGACATCATGAAACCTCTAAACTCATTTTCTCCAAAGCCTGAAAGGAGATCTGATACACGCATTCTGGAGGTGAAAGGTACCATGTGGTCCCTCCTTCCAGCCATTCCTGTCCTCCAGGGGCAGCTGGATACACTCTGATTCATTTATAGGCACATCTGATCCCACCAGAGATTTTGGTGTTGATGTGCCTTGAGATAGCACCACTATTTAATTTGCTCTTACATTTGTTGCAGAGAAAGCAGCAGCTGCCAACATAGATGAAGTGCAGAAGTCAGATGTGTCATCCACGGGGCAGGGTGTCATCGACAAGGACGCACTGGGGCCTATGATGCTTGAGGTACCATACCCCTATACTTGGTTTTGATGCTTGAGGTACCACACCCCTATTTGGTTTTGATGTTTGAGGTATCACACCTCTATTTTGTTTTGATACTTGAGTAACCACACCCCTATTTGGTTTTGATGTTTGAGGTACATACCACACATCTATTTGGTTTTGATGCTTGAGGTACCACACTCCTATTTGGTTTTGATGCTTGAGGTACCACACCCCATGATTTTGATGCTTGAGGTACCACACCCCTATTTAGGTTGATGCTTGAGGTACCACACCCCTATTTGGTTTTGATGTTTGAGGTACCACACCCCATGATCTTGATGCTTGAGGTACCACACCTCTATTTGGTTTTGATGTTAGAGGTACCACACCTCTATTTTGTTTTAATGCTTGAGGAACCACATCCCTATTTGGTTTTGATGTTTGAGGTACGTACCACACATCTATTTGGTTTTGGTGCTTGAGGTACCACACTCCTATTTGGTTTTGGTGCTTGAGGTACCACACCCCTATTTGGTTTTGATGTTTGAGGTACCACACCCCATGATTTTGATGCTTGAGGTACCACACCCCTATTTAGGTTGATGCTTGAGGTACCACACCCCATGATTTTGATGCTTGAGGTACCACACCCCTATTTGGTTTTGATGTTTGAGGCACCACACCCCTATTTGGTTTTGATGCTTGAGGTACCACACCCCAGGGTTTTGATGCTTGAGGTACCACACCCCAGGGTTTTGATGCTTGAGGTACCACACCTCCATCGTTTTGATGTTTGAGGTACCATACCCTCATTGTTTTGTATCATAAATGTTTTAGTATCCATGTGTTGCATTTAGATTCAAGTATATATAATTTAAGGAGAATCTACACTCTGTGCTTACTAATGTAAGTGGATATGTCTGTCTGTGAGTTCTTGCCTCCAGCAACATTCTATATATGTGGGACAACATAGAATTCAATCAGATGAGAATATGAAGTGCAGATTTTAATCGTCAGTTGAACACTTGTTTTCCAAAGCTGAGCTTGGACATCCAATTAGACTGTGGCACCCTGTTCCTCAGGTTCAGGGTCCACGTGGCCATGTGCCTCGGACTGTATAGACAGTTTAAAAGGAGAGAACCAAAGAGGTTTGTGCTTTTTAGGGGTGTTAATTCCAACTAGTGTGTTTTTTCTCATAGAAATGAAGGTTGAAATAGGAAGAAGGAACTTTTTAAAAGCATAACAGAGTGACTGGTCTTAGGACCTTAGGCCGCTACTGTTTCAGGCTTATAAAATCCCCCTTGTTTTTATTAATGAGTACTAAACTCAAAGTGCTTTGCTGTCCCTCTGTCAAAATTAAAATGCAAGATGTAGGCCATGTTAAGATGATAGAAGAAATAGCAATGAATAAAGAGACAGAGCTGCCTGAGATATAAATTGTCTTAGTTCTTGTAGTACTCTGCTCAGAGCATGAAGGACCATGTGGCCAGAACTGCAGCTTTCAGCCTGCTCTGTGTCTACTGCAGTGGGCTCATGGAGTTCAGGACTAGGATTTTTAAAACAAAGCTAGCTAGTACTCTCTTGACCTTGTCCCTTTTCTCATAAGATGGTTTTTGTTTCTAGAAAACCTAATTCTGTGGGGATCTACTGTATAACTGGGAGCTGGAGATAAGAGAATAAAGCTCTCCTCACCTAGTCTTTGCATTTAAAAATAACAAAATTCATTCCCTGAGGCTGGGGCTGCCAGTGGAGAGGCTTTGCATGACCCAGGTTGGCCCCCAGGTGCAATGGCACAACACTTAGTCAGCTTCTCCATACTAAACACAGCCAGAGGGGCATGTGCCACATGCTTACTGTAAGAGCAGTAAAAACAGTGGTGACCAGGGGACTGTTTACAGTGACATAAAAAGAAAGAGATTGCTTTCTTTGGAAAGATTTCTGAATTTTAAGCAGAAATTTAATTGGAGTCTTTCCATATAGCTGCTTATTCATTATGTCTAGGAAGTGGGAAATAACACTGAAACTCCAAGGAAGACTTTGAGGATTCTGAAAAGAAATGCTTAGAGCAAGCCAGGCTGTAGCTTAGCCCTTGCAACAAGTTCATTCATTGTAGAGACTGGGTTGTTGGTCCTGAGCTCATAAAATCAAACCACAATGTTTGCTGTTTGAAAATAACCTTCTGAGAATGGAGTACATGGAGGAAGTGCCTGAATCTAATGGCCTATGACTTAAATGGAAACCTTTAAACAGGGAAAGTGTGTGCTTGTAGAGCCATTCCGAGGCATAGATGCAGACTCATGCTTGCATCATAGCATAGCAGTTGCTAGGCAACAGAAGCACTGTCGGCTCTTTTCATCAGAGCATATCATAGTGAGCTTTACAAAACAAACAGTTTTATAAGACGAGCCACTTTCATCTTTTAATTTTATTAGGCCACAAATGACCTTCTTAGCACGGTACCATGCCGTGGAAGCCCTGTGCTCTTCCACAAATGACCTTCTTACCACGGTACCATGTCATAGAAACCCCGTGCTCTTGCACAGCCAAACTGGAAATGCAGGATTGAATGCCTGAACTCTGCTGACCACCCAGCAGTGGCAGTGAGAGAAGGGACAGGAGATCTGTAAGTGCCACGGCTGTTGTTGTGCCTCTGCAAGTGTACACAGCTTAGTACAGCCTGTGTTGGTGGCCACTTAGGTTTCTATAGTCTTGCTTTACCCTGAATGTGGCTCCTGTTATAGAGAAATCTGACAGAGTAGTTAAGAAAAGTCTAAAGCCAAGCAGTGGTTTTTTTGTTTGCTTTGGTTTGAGTTTCATTGTTGTTGCTTTTTTGTTGTTGTTATAATTACAAGACAGGTCCTTGAATTCCCAGCAATTCTTCTGCTGTAGCTCAGGTGGCTAATGCCACCACACCCAGTTTACTTTTTCTTAAAACAACTTCGCATTTGTACCCTTGTATCAGTTTTAGATTGATGGAATCTAATCTGATAAAACAGAAGCCTCTTATATAAACAGCCTTGGGTGGGCCAAGCATTCAGGCGGTCCGTTCCCACTGTGTAGGGGCTGGGCATGTTATATTCATGTTACACGTGTGGTACATATGTAGCTGAAGAGCCTAAGTGGCATCGACTGACTGAGAGTTTAGCTTTGACACGTGTCCAGCTCTTCGTCTGTGAACTCTGATCTGTCTGAGCAAGCATCCGGAGTGGGAGAGAAGTGACCAGACACGGGGCTGCCATTGCCAGGGCAGACTTGGAAGGGTTGGGCGTCCAGCCCCCTGGAGTCAGGAGTGGCTCCGCTGCGGACTGTGTGAATGTTTCCTTCCACAAACCCTGATCCCCTCTGTGACTTGGACAAGAGGACATTAGGAGGACACCATGTGCCCATAGCACAGTGAGCACACCCAGAGCTGCCAATTACCTTCCTTCCTAAGATTCTTCAGACCAATCTCTTTCTGTCATCTAGACATAGGTGGCACATGGAGTGAGAGCACTGAGCTGGCTTGGCCACCCCCTTCTTTTTCTGGAGAGATTAGCACTCTCACCATGCCACCGTCCCCATTCACACCCCCGCCAGAGAGCCTGCCCAGGTCCTTCCCTGCACACCAGACGGTGAAGGCTGGATGTTGCTTCGAAGGTCTGCGACCATCTGTGATTTCACTTAAATCCTGGCCATCTTAAAAGTTGTAAAAATTAGGGATTTCCCTTGATACTTATTTTTAAACTGAGGGAAAATGTTAGCACCGGCTCCTTCCTCTCAGCATAAGCCATACAGAAGCAGTGACAGTGTATGGGCTGGCACCCTGACTCCCATACTGAGCCCTGTGGTGTGCTCCCCATCCCACTCTGGTTATGTGGCAACAGTTATCTCCTGGCAGATTAACAGACTTCATGTTTCTTCTTTGGTTTTAACAGCAGACCCTAATCTACCCTCTCTTCCATTGACTAGAATGGAATCATTTCTATTCCCAAGAGAACATGTGTTAATCGTTTCTGAAGAGCATGGGAGATCTCTTTTTCTTGAAGAACCGGTTCCCCCATGACGGCTGAGTGTTTTTATGTTGTGCTCTTTCTAATACCGTTGGTCTTTGTCCTTAGGCCCTTGATGGGTTCTTCTTCGTTGTGAACCTAGAAGGTAATGTGGTGTTTGTGTCAGAGAATGTGACACAGTATCTACGGTATAACCAGGAAGAACTGATGAACAAGAGCGTCTATAGCATCCTGCATGTTGGAGACCACACTGAATTTGTCAAGAACCTGCTGCCAAAGTCCATGGGTAAATGTCCGCGGCTCCCACTGCCTCACACTGCTCTCACAGACTTTCCTGGTGAGAGTGAGTCAGCAGAGCCTGTTGTCATAGGCATGTCAGCAACCATAAGCATTCAGAGAGAGCCATGGAAGGAAGGGGCATCTGCCAATGCTGCTCCTGGATGCACTGTTGATCTTATTTATATTTTAAAGCAAGTTGCCACCTTTCCCCTCTGCCCACCATCCAAAGAATGGGCCAAGACATGTTTGAGATTTGGCTCCCTTGAGTTCTGTGTATAAAAAGAATATGTGTGTATGTGGTATTGTAAAAACAGACACAGGCACAGTGGCACAGACAACTAGTATATTGACTCCAGAAGACTGGTTCCTGTTAGTCTCCTGAGCAGCTCTGCAGCTGTCATTGCAGGGCACAGCCCCTCAGCTCTCACGTGTGTCTGTCCCTCCTCCCTCCCTCCACTGTTCCCCTCCCTCCGAGCTTCCTGACCTCTGTCCTGATTGCTGCTTCTCTTATAGATTCTGTTCAGAAGTGCCCGTGATGAGTGTGGGCTGCCATTGGCAGTTTGTGGCTCACAGAATGGGCCGGCTATAGAGGATCGTTGCACTTTCTAGTGGTTCTTTAATATTCTCACTGTTAGGAATATCTTCACAGATAAAACAGAGTACATATTTTAGTGCTTAGTAAGGTCATTCCTGATTTGACAAGTATTCTTTTTCTTGAAACTGTTTGTATGTGCTAGTCTTATAGTTAGCCATATATTTACCATTATGGCTGCTTTTGCTTCATGAGGATAAAATGCTTTGGTTTTTGTGAATGCAGCAGTCCCCTAAGATGTGTGAGTACTTACCTGTAGGGAATTCTTCTGTTCAGTCTGGTAAATGTGAAAAAATGGATTTCATAGTTGAAGTAACTAATTTTCCGATCTCTTCAGTAATTGTTCCTCAGAGGACTTGTACTTGTTACTTCCTATCCACAGAGCCCTCCACCTGGCCTCACCTGTGCCTCTTTAGTGTCAACTCACTTCCTAGTGTCAACCGGACTGGGTCTTGTTATGTAAATAGATTTCAGAAATGCTAAAGCCTTGGCCTGGGTCCACTGTGGCACCTCTGTCCCTGTTGCTCTGTCTGGCCAGTGACTGCTTTCCTTAAATTTGCCATTTTATTGGGGATGGTAAAGAAAAGGACTCCAGATTCTACTTGAAAGTTAAGGCGATTCTAGATTCTACTCCGGGCGCTTCTGATGGCTGCACATTTCTCTAGGGGTCATTAACACTTGCTCAGTTAACACTCTGTGTTTCAGAAGATATTGATGCCTTTCCTTTCGTCAGGGAACTCTTTCTTTCTTTTCATCCCAATATCAGCGTCCCCTCGTCTCCCAGTCCCCCACAATTGTTTCTTAAATATATATGTTTTAATTTTGACAAGAAGAGAAAGTTGTTTTCACTTGACACAGTATCAGTACTTTGTCTTCAAGCACTTTCAGATCCACTAAGGAAGTCTATGTGAACACTTAAGGTAGACTGTAATCGGGTGGCTCAGGAGCAGACTTGTTAGAAAGAACTCCCCTAAGTTTCTGTGAGAAGCAGTTTGTATCAGAGGAGGCCCGAGAAACTGGGGTGTCTCTCACAGAGCGAGCACCCTGCCATGTTATGCTGTAGCTCAGAAGGGAGACGCTTAGTGGAAGCACCAAGAACAGACATCCATGTGGTCCTCAGGGTGGATTGAGGACAGTCCAGCCAGCTGGGCAGGGTGGGCTGCTCAGTGAGGTTTGGATTATATGTCAAGGTTGCTCTCATGCTGCTAACTCCTGCCATCCAAGTCCTCTGAAAAACATTGGCGCTTGTTACAGTTGGTGCCATTCGCAAAGTTTTGAGTGATGTTTGCACCTTGAAAACTAGAATGCAAGCAGAATGTACTATATTTCCAAGAAATCAAAGATAGAACCCCAAAAATAGAGTGTGCAGTCTTTTAGTAATATGTAGTCAGGGCATGACCTTTGATAAAAGGGGGGGGGGGGCTCTGTAGTCTAGTTGTGTGAAAACCCCAAGTTTCTGAGGTACAAAGTCCTTGTGCTCCCCCTACACCCTCTTAATAGTGCAGCAGCCCTGGAGGCTATTGTTTTTCCTTGTAATCTCGGGTCGCTTTTGCCTCGCAGTGAATGGGGCATCTTGGTCTGGAGAACCTCCCAGGCGGAACAGCCATACCTTCAACTGTCGGATGCTGGTGAAGCCTTTGCCAGATTCAGAAGAGGAAGGCCATGATAACCAGGAAGCACATCAGAAATATGAGACGATGCAGTGCTTCGCTGTGTCTCAGCCAAAGTCTATCAAAGAGGAAGGCGAAGGTAGGATGGCCCTGGGAGAGAGGTCACATGTCTGCACCTCCCTCCTGTGCACAGCTCTGGCTGGCAACTTTCTGACTCTTTCCCATCTTTATTCTTTTTGAGGTTCCTTTTTTGTTTGTTTGTTTGTTTTTGTTTTGTTTTCTTTTTTCTCTACAACATTGGTCATTGGACCCTCACGTGCTAAGCAGTATTCTACCTCTGAGCTGTTCTCGATTTGAAAATCTTTGTGGTGATATAAGTGGTCCAGTGCAGGTCCAGCACAGCAGCCAGGATTCAGATCTGAAGCCAGCACTTAAAACTGCATCAGGGTTGATTTCAGTTATGTTCTCATGTAAATAGCATGTGTTCCTGGTGACCGTGGCACTTCTGCACCTCTGACAGTGGCAGTTTAGGGGATCCTGGGTTGCTTTGAATACTAATGTAAATTGTATGCCACAGCCCCAGAAAACCCGCACATGGGTATAAGCAGCATTTTTCTATAGACTTTCCTGGGAGTAACAATCAATCTATGTAATTATCTGTGCACACCAGGCCTTCACTGTGCTACAGCAGCAGAGAGGGCAAACAGGAACCGAGAGTGTGGGCCTTCAGAGACATAAGCATGCTGAGTTACTCCCCATAATGAGATGCTCGTGTCACCCCATCCTGCCTTCCAGTCACTAAGTGTCCCTCTGTAGTATAAGATGTTGGTGGGGAAAGCACTCTGGGAGTTACAGAAGGAAAGAGCTGTTGACTAGCAGTGCAATGAAATAATCTAGTGGATAATCAGGCAGAACAACCCCCAATCAGCCATCAGCTCTGGCTCTGGACAAATTTCTTCACTTCTCTGTGTATCAATTTATTAAGTCAAATTACCAATGTGAGCATCAGAATCTGGTACAGAATGAGTGGCATGTAACTCGGAGATGGAGTACTTACCTGAGTTCTGTTCTCAGCGTGTGTGCACACATACACACAGAGCTTATGACGATGGCTGAATTATAGTAGCCACTGAATACTAGTGTAGTACTGCTTAACTAAAATGTGTAAATGACGCCGGGCTGTGGTGGCACACGCCTTTAATCCCAGCACTTGGGAGGCAGAGGCAGGCGGATTTCTGAGTTCGAGGCCAGCCTGGTCTACAGAGTGAGTTCCAGGACAGCCAGGGCTATACAGAGAAACCCTGTCTCAAAAAAACAAAAAAACAAACAAACAAAAAAAACATGTGTAAATGTTCTTAAATTTTATCAGAGAGAAGTTCCAAAGAGCTATTATAGAGAAATGGTATTTCAAATGAGTCTTTGCTTAGATGTGACCAGTTTAGTTCTGGTCACTTAACAAGAAAGCGAACACTGCAGCCTCATCCGTGATGTTCCACAGGTGAGTAAGGCAGCCATGCCGACTCAATGCTCTGCACTGAAGAGGAAAATGTGGACTCTGGTTGAGGTGGAGCTGGTTGGTAAAGTGCTTGTGTAGAACGCCCAAACCCCAAACCCACGTAAAATTAATCATTGTGATGTACCCCCTATAATCCTAAACACAGGAGATACAGCCAGGTGAGTCAGAAAAGTCAAGGTCATGCATGGCCACACACAGCAAGTGTGATGTCCAACCAAGATGTAGTAGACTCTGTCTACAAATTCATTAATGAAATTCGATTTTAAGACAGAGTGTGGTGGTGCATGCCTCTAATCTTGGCACTCGGATAGGATCAGGTGCCTTTAAGGTGATCCCAGCACAGGATAGAGGTGGAGGAGCACTGTAAGCCTGAGGCCAGCCTGGTCTACAAATGAGTTGCCGGTGAGGCAGAGTGGCATAGCAAGACCCTTGCCTTTAAAAAAAAAAAAACTGTTTAATAAAAAGCAAGGGCTTCTTTCTTTTATTTTTTTTTCTTCCTTTTACTGTAGCTAAAATACTCCTGGTCTTAGACATGGTAGGGAGGGTTCAACCACTAAGCCACATACCCCACTTCCTTCCCATGACAATTACATTTTAACCCAAAGACACCAGCTATTACTTGAGATATTCTTCCCCCTCCCAAAAAAAAGAAAGAATGCTTCCCAAGTTTACAGATGAATGATTGCAAGCCCGTAGGCAATGAGATGGTGTGAGGACCTCATGGGTGGTGTGAGATGGTGTGAGGACCCTGTGCTGTGAGATGGTGTGAAAAGCCTGCTTCACTTCTGTGGCAGCCCTTTTGTCAGCCTTTCTTTTAACTTGAAAGAGCCATACAATGTGCTCTGCGTGCTATACACTTATATAAGACATGTCCCTATTCTCCAGAAGTGAGCCCCCATGCAGAAAACAATGAAAATGGGACTGGAGAGGTGGCTCAGCAGTTAAGAACACTCACTGCACTTCCACAGGACCCTTCCCAGCACCCACATGGTAGCTCACAACCATCTATAAGTCCAATGCCAGGGGATCTGTCACCCTCTTCTGGACTCCACATACAGCAGACATGTAAGTTATACACAGACAGGCAAAGTGTCTATACAAATAAATAAAAATTTTGAAATGTTGAAGTAGGGATGAGGTTAAATGTCCGGCAGTGCATCTGGTGCATTTCCTATGTCCAGTGGAGTTTGTGTATCTTTGTTCAGCTCACCTTGATATCCTCATGCACCTACAGAGTTTAAGTGTAATCCTGAAACTGAGAAGCAAACTCCTTCCCAACTGTATCTGATTTTAGTTCTGTCTTTTTGTTTTGTTTACTTTATTATGAATTAACTTTGCTTTTACACTCAATGACTTAGCAAAAAAATGAATCCCATACTTTTCATCACTGAGGAGGTAGTTTCCAATCATTACCTCTGGCTTGGTGGGTAGACTCTTACCACTGTAGTTTCGGCATCTGCCCCTCTGCTCCAGCTCATCCTAGCAGCCACCTCCCACTATAGTCAAACTGAGAATTAAGCCAGTGAGAAGCTGAGAACCAGGCAAGTCTCACTCATTTACCAGGCTGTGTTGTCATAAATATTTGAGTTGATTTGATTACTACAAATATGAGAAACAATTGTGTCTTATTTACTTAAGATTTGCAGTCCTGCTTGATTTGTGTGGCACGAAGAGTCCCCATGAAGGAAAGACCAGCCCTTCCCTCATCAGAAAGCTTTACCACCCGCCAGGACCTCCAAGGTAAATTCCTGTCAGAAAAGACAAAAGTGGTCATTTGAAAATGCATAGGTACCTGAATATAGTAACTGTCTCTGGAGACCGCAGTGTTGAGAGGTTGTGTGGTGGCCTTTACCTGCTGAGGAGAGGCGCTGAGGAGCAGCAGGCCCTCAGAGAGAGGGACTTTCTTCACGGTGCTCCTCCCTGGAGGTGGAAGTGTATTTGGGCTGCCAGCTCCAAACAGCAGGCTTTCCATTTCTGCAGTTCTGTCTCTGTGTGATCCACCAACCCTAGAACAGAACAATTCAGTTTTTAAAGTATCATTGTTCTGTGTAGAATATATTAATTGGAGATAAGGCAGAGTTCCAGATGATGCTGGACTATACAAGAAAATCTGTATAAAAATCAGAAATAATTAAGATGAATAAAATAGAAAGGACACAGGAAGATAGAGGTCATCCGCATAAACTGTGCCATTTTACATGAGACCAGTCCCCGAAGATACAGTCTATAACGGTAAGTAAATCTGTTTTCCTGAATGTTAGTTGTTTCTCTGAAAAATCTGTGTTGTAATGTCTGCTGTTTTCTCTCAGGCAAGATCACTTCTCTGGACACTAGCACCATGAGAGCCGCCATGAAGCCAGGCTGGGAGGATCTGGTGAGAAGATGTATTCAGAAATTCCATACACAGCATGAAGGGGAGTCTCTGTCATACGCCAAGAGGCATCATCATGAAGGTAGGCCTCTCTGCATACTACTTTAAGTGACCTTCACACCATTGCTTCCTGTGGGGATGTCCTATCAACAGGAGATGCCTGAAGCTCGCCTCACAGAGCTTCTGTGTCCTCTGCTGGTGCTCTCCAGCCCAATAAGCTACTTGATGAAATAAAACAAGAGGTGTTGATATCACAAAGATGGAGAAAGCAGTCATTTTCTGTGATCCTCCTACTTCTGGATGCATGACAAGATAACCAAGGTTTGTATAATCTAAGAAATAGGATCAAGTTCATAAGAGCAGTCTGGAAGGAAGAATAGATGGGATTTTCAAGAGCTAATAAATCCCAAACTCTCCTTTGTGATGTAAACAGCAGATTCCAGAAGTTTCCAGAAGGCCCGGAGAAGCAACAAGCCCTGCGCTGGGTCACAGACTAAAAGAACAGCTGGAAGCAAACTCAACACTCCAGCCATCTTGCAGTCTGTCACAGCCCTGAATGAACAGTGCCGTTGCATGGCCTTGTCTTCCTGTGTATCTCGTCACCCCCACACCAAGCCCTCCCCTGTGCACTTTATAGGTGTTGAGTGGGACAGGGTCCTGGCCAGCACATGCTCTGCACCACATGAGACTAATGTCTCACATGGATGATTCTGCTCTGCAGACAGGCTCTGTAACTAAGCTGTGGCAAACAGAGATGTAGTTTGTCATCCATTTAGTGTACATCATGGCCTTGGCTTTTTAACCAGTCAGGTTTGTACATTGAAGCTTTATGCTTTTGAAGCCACTTAATGAAAAAGCACAGACATAGTAAATGTGCTCTGACCAATTCATTTGCTCCCCACACCTGCATCTTTTTCACCCTCATTTCTTTAAAATTAAGTAAATGATCAAACATTTCATACCTTCCAATGTTGTTCTTACTGCTAGAATAAGGGCAAATATAGATGGTACATTTGACAGAAATCAATATTTAAGCTGGCATTTCACTAGATAAGGCCTGGAATAGAAACAGAAGTTAAAGAAATGCTGTTAGCAAACATGTTCAGTGCCCCTGGGTTCCCAGTGCCCCACACTTAATTACCTAGCTTCCTGGTTCCACATGCATAGACTCGACTGCGTTTAGAGACAGGACCCACTGAAGGGAAACTGCACACAGATGTACAGAACAGGGACTGCGGAGCCTAGGGCAGCTCAGCGGGTAAGAGGACTCTTGACTAGTCATGAAGACCTGAGTTCAGATCACCAGGAATTCAAAAAGAAAGGTGTGGTTGCATGCTCACCTAACACCCACACTGTGGAAGATGGAGACAGGATTGCTAGGGCTCTCTAAGCACAGGTGCACACACACACACACACACCACATGTACACATTCATGCATACCCTCTAGGCACACACAGGTACACACAGACACTATATTTACACATTCATACATACCCTCTAGGCACACACAGGTACACACACACACACACACCATATTTACACAGTCATACATATCCTCTAGGCACACATAGGTGCACACACAGCATACGTACACACTCTTACAAACCCCTCAAAAGTGACTATAAATAATAACTTTTAAAAGAAACGTGTAATCTAGAAGTTTCCACTTGCGTCTAGCGGAAATTTGCTGGAAGGTTATGAGTTGGGGAGCATCCTAAAGGATCAGGTATGCTCACTCATTATTGCAACATAGTATGCAGACCAAATGGAAAAAGTCTTTAGATAGAGATTACAGCCAAGGTCAGCAGAAAATGTAAAATCATAAGCCACTAAAAATGTGAGTCCTTTACACAGCTGTATTTCTGTTACCTTTAGACCACATGCTTCTTACGCAAAATGCAGCATGCATAGAACAGTAACTGTGACCCCCAGCACAGCCACTGTAGAATCCCTGAAGGCAGCGTGTCCCAGTATCCTGTCTGCCTGAGGTGATGGAGGAAGGGGCTGTTTGACAAACACAGAGGGAAGCTTTACGGAGAAATCAGAGTCTCCCTCCCCTTGCAGTAATTCTCTGACCTGGTGAATTTGCATGGTCATCTTGGGGCAAGTACCTCAACCTACCAAGTTTGTACAACAATTTCATTAGAAACATGATACTTTTCTTAAAAATTATTTAAGAAACTAAACTTGAGTTTTATCACTTTTTCCTGAATCAAAGTCATGTGAAATGTTTGTTATGAAATACAGTTCTAAAAATCTCGAAGATTATTTTAAGAGAAATTATATTAATCCAGTTGATTTACTTTGTATTACTTGTCTTAACAATAGCACTATCTGACCTTTAAGAAAATGTTAAAGCGCTGGGCGGTGGTGGCACACGCCTTTAATCCCAGCACTTGAGAGGCAGAGACAGGCGGATTTCTGAGTTCGAGGCCAGCCTGGTCTACAGAGTGAGTTCCAGGACAGCCAGGGGTACACAGAGAACCTGTCTCAAAAAAACCAAACCAAAAAAAAAAAAAAAAAAGTTAAAGCGATTGCACTGGCTCAGGTTGGTGCTTGGCTTTCAGTTGTGTTTAGTGCTTTCTTTTGATAGAGGATGCTTTTCACTTTTACTTCCTATTGTTCAGAGCAGGAAAGACATACCACACAAAGCCAAAGCAAGTGTGAGACGGTTGGCTAGAGAGGTCACCTGAGGATGAGCATTCAGACATGCAGGATCTTAAACCTCATCCTGAAAAGGAATACTGTAAAGGAAAGCAAAGGCGGATTGTACTTAGACATACCATGTTTTGGGGTTATGTTGCTTTTATGGTGTTTTCTAATATTAGTAAGAAATTATAGAAAGGCTTATTTTGACCTGACAAACTGTTTATACTCTCTTTGCCCCATAATAATAATTTGGTTTAAGAAAGAATTTATTTCAACAACAACAACAAAAAAAAGAACTTATTTAGGGTCTAGAGAGATAGCCTAGAGAAACATTAAAAGCACTAGCTGCTCTTCTTGATGACCCATGTTCCGTTCCCAGCTCCTACATGATGGTTCACAACTTTCTGTAACTCCAGTTTCACTTACATATATTTGAGTAAAATATGAATACACATATAATAAAAATAAGTCTAAAATTTAATATATAAACAAATTTTTAAAAATAAAGGACAGTTTGAGTTTTCAAGCTGTTATTCTCTGTCATACAAAAAAAAACTAATTCACTGTTTGGTATTTTGAAAAGTAGCTATGCTTTTTAAATGGATGTGTTATGACCTGTAACTCTTAACCTGCTCTTAGGAAAACCAGTGAAGCCAGTCACTGTTGCACCTTGTCACACTTTCCTTGACACTTGACTCCACTTTTCTGATTTTTTTTCTTTAGCTTTTTGTTCTAATCATGTCTTGTTTTCTTTTTGTGCCTGCAGTTCTGAGACAAGGGTTGGCGTTCAGTCAGATCTATCGTTTTTCTTTGTCTGACGGCACTCTCGTTGCTGCACAAACCAAGAGCAAACTCATCCGTTCTCAGACTACTAATGAGCCTCAGCTTGTCATATCTTTACACATGCTTCACAGGTAATCATACACTGGGCCTCAGTTTCTTGTCCCTTGTTGAGAGATGTGCTGCAGAAGCAGTATGCCACCCAAATGCCTCTCGGGTTCCCAGGCTTTTCCTTTTTTGACTATGGTGTTATAAACTGTAAACTAAGATTGCTGGTAACTGTCGGCTAGAGACCCTGCACTGTACCAACAAAGTCTGACTGCCCTTTGCATTCACCTTTAACACTAAGAAAACACCATCAGACTGGACTATATTGCATTAGTCCCAATACTTGGAGGCAGAGACAGGTGGATGTCTGAGAGTTCTAGGCCAGCCTGATCTACTCAGCAAGCTCCAAGACAGCCAGGACTACATAGAGAGATCCTGTCTCAAACAAATAAAAACAGAAAAAGAACGCACAGGGCTTGGCTACACCTTCCTGTTACAGTCAAGAAGGGAAGTTCCCAGGGAGCAAAGCAGTGAGAACAGGAACATGAAGGCCAGGGCTAAGATTTCTGATCCTGGATGCTTAATCTTTCAAATGGATATTCTTAAACTAGTTTTGATTTTTGTTCTTGGGTTTAATTTCTTCACATTAGACTTTAAATTGAGTGGTTTTCTATAGTAAAAGAAAGAAACACAAATGTTGATTTTAAAATAAATGTCATAGAGCATATTGTTTCAGATACTCATTTGGGAAAATGATTGAATTTCAAATTTTATAAATGTTTATGTATATGCTGAGGGAAACTTTACGAGGTGCTGCCAAGAGATATCTACAGTTGCTCTGCTTAAAGAGTCCTAGTTTACTGGATTTCTCAATTATTTTGCTTTCTAGTACAGGAATAAAAAAATCAGGCAGGCCTAGTTGCCAACTAATAGTAAATCTGACCGCAAACTGAAACCATTTGAAAGTAATTGTGACGCAGTGATTTCACCCACCCACCCCAACTGAAGCTGACATATGATAATCATTGAACATGTTTGGTAACTCATAAATAGCCACCAAGACTAAAGCAAAGGCCCTGGGTTCTGTGAGACCTGCTTGTAAGCATCACGGAAATGGATTTGAATTTTCCTGGAATGGCGGCCAGTTAAAATCACAAACTGTGTCACTCCAGAACCCTACCACAGCCATATTCTATCCTTTGGCCTGCAGGGATTGAGGAAATGGTTGGGAATCTGTGAGGCAAGTTGATATAACTAATACCAGTCAGAGTACCTTTTCTGTATCAAGAAATGGCCATCTCTCTAACAGTTAGGGCAGGGTGCTCCCCACTAAGGCCTCTGTCCACCATGAACCAAGTGACATCTATCAGAACCTCTAGGCCCTCAGATGTGCCCATTACTGGGAGCTGAAACTGTGGCAAATGGTTGACTCCAATAGTACTTCTGTGATAGTTTCTCTAAGGCTGTGTGTAGGCACTCTCAGTTGCTCGTCAGGGAGATGCATAGTTGAAACCATCCTAATGTCCTCTGTCCTTACTGAAATTTCAGTATGAGAGTAGTCTAACTTAACCTCCATACACACTTCAGTAAAACCACAGGCATCTTAACACATTGCCTGAAAAGCATCCTTCTTAGTCCAGAGCTGTACATGGTCAGTCTATCCCATAAATGCAGGTGTTTTCATCTAAGCCTCAGCTTCTTTTAAATGTAGCCTGTTTTTGTAAAGAAGAGACCCTGCATTTTTTAAAATTAGTAACAGTTTACCATGTATTTCTCCTTTTATCTTACTTATGTTTCTTTCCTCATTGTAACAGAGAGCAGAATGTGTGTGTAATGAATCCGGATCTGACTGGACAAGCGATGGGGAAGCCATTGAATCCAATTAGCTCTAGCAGTCCTGCCCATCAGGCCATGTGCAGTGGGAACCCAGGTCAGGACATGACCCTCGGTAGCAATATAAATTTTCCTATGAATGGCCCAAAGGAACAAATGGGCATGCCTATGGGCAGGTTTGGTGGTTCTGGGGGCATGAACCATGTATCAGGCATGCAAGCAACCACTCCTCAGGGTAGTAACTATGCACTCAAAATGAACAGTCCCTCACAAAGCAGCCCTGGCATGAACCCAGGGCAACCCAGCTCTGTGCTCTCCCCAAGGCATCGCCTGAGCCCTGGTGTGGCTGGCAGTCCTCGAATCCCACCCAGTCAGTTTTCCCCTGCAGGAAGCTTGCATTCCCCTGTGGGAGTTTGCAGCAGCACAGGAAATAGCCATAGTTATACCAACAGTTCCCTCAATGCACTGCAAGCCCTCAGCGAGGGCCATGGGGTCTCACTAGGGTCATCGTTGGCTTCACCGGACCTAAAAATGGGCAATTTGCAAAACTCCCCAGTTAATATGAATCCTCCCCCACTCAGCAAGATGGGAAGTTTGGACTCCAAAGACTGTTTTGGACTTTATGGGGAGCCATCAGAAGGTACAACTGGACAAGCAGAGGCCAGCTGCCATCCTGAAGAACAAAAAGGGCCCAACGATTCGAGCATGCCCCAGGCAGCCAGCGGGGACAGGGCTGAGGGACACAGCCGGCTGCATGACAGCAAAGGGCAGACCAAACTCCTACAGCTGCTGACCACCAAGTCTGACCAGATGGAGCCTTCCCCCTTGCCCAGCTCTTTGTCGGACACAAACAAGGACTCTACAGGTAGCTTGCCTGGACCTGGCTCCACGCATGGCACCTCGCTCAAGGAGAAGCATAAGATTTTGCACAGACTCTTACAGGACAGCAGTTCCCCTGTAGACTTGGCCAAGCTGACAGCAGAAGCCACAGGGAAAGAGCTGAACCAGGAGTCCAGCAGCACAGCTCCTGGGTCAGAAGTGACTGTCAAACAGGAGCCAGCGAGCCCCAAGAAGAAAGAGAATGCACTACTGCGATATTTGCTCGACAAAGATGATACTAAAGATATTGGTTTACAGGAAATAACCCCCAAACTCGAGCGACTGGACAGTAAGACAGATCCTGCCAGTAACACAAAACTAATCGCTATGAAAACTGTGAAGGAGGAGGTGAGCTTTGAGCCCAGTGACCAGGTGAGTTTTCTAATGTCGTCTCCCTGAAGTCCTCCAAGGGGACAATCTGTAACTCCCTAAAAGTAGTATTTGTGTTTGTGGGCCTTACCTTGTAACAGTTACTTTGCATGAAACTGTGTTCTACATTGCAATGTTACACAGAACAGACATGGGCTTAGCAGACCATGTAGCTTGCTCTCAGACATTCAGCCACTGTGGGCCAGAGCAGCTGTGGACACTGAGCAAGTAAGTATGGCTGTTGCTCTGCTACAGTTTTACAGATACTTACTTACAGACCCTGGAGCAGACAGTTGTGATGGGCACAAAGTATTCTTTTGATTGTTTTTTGGTGGGGTGGGGAGGGTCATCGTTCTTGCTATGAGCAAGGTAAATTCATTCTTAGGTCATAAGTCATATGTAAACAAGCGTGAGCAGGATGAACTGCAGCATGACTGTAGTTAGCTGAACCCATATTGGTGGCAATTTCTTCCTTAGACCAGAGCTTTATCAGAACAAACTTAAGTATCTATTTGTTCCTCTCTGTGAATACTTCTGAGTAATGTACAGGAATCTCATTGACTGTTGGTTAAAACATACCAGAGGAAATGGATGGAGACATATAAAGCCATTATGTATTGATTCAAAACCAGAATAATGGGTTACATTCTCTCCGCGCTTCTCTCCAAAGTTAACACCTTGGAAACAATCCAGGGGACTTAAAATAAATAATGTTCAGAATCATTCTTTTATTTATTTATTTTTGACAAAAAACAATCCTTATACAATATGATCCACTGTAAAATACCACTATCAGACTAGATCAGACTAGTTACTATATCAAATACCATGTGCTGATCATTTTTATGGTATAAGCAGCTTTTTTTTTTTTTTTTGGTTTTTCGAGACAGGGTTTCTCTGAGTAGCCCTGGCTGTCCTGGAACTCACTCTGTAGACCAGGCTAGCCTCGAACTCTCGAACTCAGAAATCCACCTGCCTCTGCCTCCCAAATGCTGGGATTAAAGGCGTGCACCACCACCACCCGGCCCAATAAGCAGCGTTTTAAAACTCTTCTGAGTCGTCTTCAATGTACATAGGTTGCAGTTTACACCACGTTGTACAACAGACCTCTGGAATGTTTTCATCCAAACTGACATTTGATCCTTCTCCAACATTTCAACCCTGACCCCTCAACCATTCCCAACAATACTCTAGTGTGTAAGGTGCCACAGTGAGCGAGCAGACCACTGATATTTCTACTGACTTACAAAAGCAAGTGATACATGTTGTAGTGACTGCAGTGGTGAAAGCCATGACTGACTGGAGGTCAGGATCCGGCCTCACCTTCCCCAGGCTGACCACTGGCACTCTTTCTTATGTTATCATTGACTGTGGAGTGAAGAAGTCACAGGAGCCTCTCTCCTTAAAATGGCCTATAATCTGCCCTTGAAAGTTGGGTTGCAAGTACGAAGGTAGTATCACCAGCTTCAAGAGAGCTGCACTCCCATCCCACACTGTGCCTGTGAGCCCCTGACCCCCTGACCCCACAGAGGCTGCACTGGGGGCTGTCCCTGTCAGCCAAGCTGGTTCTGAGGACTTGACCTTCTGATTTCTTTCACTGTGATGCCGACAGTTGCCTCCATTCCTGAGGACAGATACAATTGTTCAGGCATCCCTGTTGCTCACCGGGGAAGCAGACTAAGATGACATTAACATTATTGGTGAATAATCCTAAAGTCGGATGGTAGCAGCAGGTCTATGCAGCAGCTGTTTTATAATGGTGTGGACTCATGAGCTGGGCCACTGAGGCCAACAGAAAGTTAATGGCAGTGCCCTGTGTGGTGTGGTGTGAAAACCATGGTGACAACCTGGCTTTCATCTTCTGGGGTGCACTGGATGAGATGATGCAGAGGTAGTGGCAGTTCAGAATGGCAGGCATAGATAACCAGTGTCACTTAGGTCTCTTACCATGCTGGAGAGCAGAAAACCAGTGACTTGGGAGACCTCAGTGCGAGATCACTGATAATTCTCATTACTTGGTATATATGATTTCACAAATGTCAAACAAAAGGTTTGGTTTGGTTTCATTTTTTAAGTCTTTGAATCACTTGGAGTTTTTTTTGGGGGGGGAGAAATAATTTTCTAATCAAAATTATCTGAGAAACAAAGACAAGTATGAGTCAGTATAAATCTGTTGTTTGAAGATGGGAAGAAAGTAGGAATTACATGTTCCTTAACGAAGGCTTGCTCACCTGCCCTCCACCCTCTCCCAAACCTCATCTAAAAAGACACTTTCACAGAGCCAGTTTAGCATCAAAACATAGCAAGGAGAAAAGTTACCACAGGAAGTATGCTTTACCTAAATTTAGATCCGTCAGCATGAGAAAAAAGGCGATTCTTTCACTCACTGCTCACCTTCTGTCCCCTAAGGACAGTCTCCTTACCCTTCTACAGGAATTATTTAGTAAGCATGCACACATAGTAAGCCTAGACTGCAATGGATGGTCTTGTTATTTTCACTCAAAAAAAAAAAAATTAACTGAGTGTGTGTTTAATGAATTACTAACGTTTTAAGGTCAGGAAGTACTTCAGTGGTGCAGTATTATACCGAAAATGGCATGTTTTTACTGGGCAGAGCATTCAATCAAGATGTTTCTACGCCATTTCCTAGCCAACAGGAAACAGAAACTGACAGAAACATTTCCAGTCTGTTTACTGCTCTAAGTCACGTGCTTATTTACACAATGGAGCATTGCTGGTACTCTGCCAAGCAATAGTCTGGCTCCTACTTTCTTTGAGGGCTTGAAACGGGATGTTGCTTGACTCCATTAGAAAAGCTGTGTTAAGCTGGTAGTGCCCAGACATTCCTTCCAGATACTATAGAATTCCTTCACAAGTCTGTGCTAATCAAATGGTATGATACTATATTTTTTATTTAAAATATTTTCAAAAGTTACTTTTTAATTTATTAGAATACTCATGTGTCTCTTCAGAGAACAAGTTGATTTTTGACACATGAAAATTATAAAACTAAAAAGAAAAAAAATAAAGAAATCAAGCCTATTTTTCATTTTGTAGAGCTTTAAAAAAATAACTTTCTGACTCATTTTCTGCCAGAAATAATTGAAACTAACTACCAAAATTGATGTGGCTAATTTGAGCATTCAAATGGATGCCTAAGTGAAACTTTGAAGTGTCTGCAAGGCATTGTAAAGGAAGGCATTAAACTGTGCCTAACATGTGAGGAGGGTCTGAAGAACCTCAGTGAGATGTCAGTTACAAAGCTGTAGAAGATATCTTCTCTCAGAAACACAGATGATCACACTTCAGCCCTTCCAGAACTTGCATGGATAGAATATTAAACTTAGAGCCACTCTGCAGTCCCAACATTCCAGAGCTGAGAGAGGATTGTAAAGTCAAGGTCAGCCTTACCTCAGGGAAAGAAAAATTAAACTGATAACAAGTTAATGATAAGTGCATATTCCAAAAATTGACAAAGAATAAATTCAAGCAAAGCCATGTCTCTAAGAGTTCGCGGTGCATCTTGAAATGTTAGCCTGAGTGAGTTCAGTGAGTCCAGAGCTCTGAACCTGTAGAAGCCTGTTCATAGGAGAACCTAGAGAGCTCTCAGTTTGTTGCTTCTCAAGTCAAAGCTTTGCTGCTAACTTTCCCTTCCTCTGTTCTCCCTCCCTCCCTCCTTTTCTTCCTTTCCTATTCTGGATATTGAAACCAAGGCCTCTTACAAGCCTTACGAATTGAGTTACGCTCGCTCTCCCTCACGTAGATGATGATGAAATTGTAAATGAGAGTGATCAAATTTGAAGATTTGTTTACTTTAAGACTTTTTTTTTATGTACACCATCACTCTCTTCAGACACACCAGAAGAGGGCATCGGATCGGATCCCATTACAGATGGCTGTGAGCCACCATGTGATTGCTGGGAATTGAACTCAGGACCTCTGGAAGAGCAGTTGGCGCTCTTAACCACTGAGCCATCTCTCCAGCCCAACTTTTCTTTTAAAAAATAAAAATTAGGGATGAGGGAGGAAAGGGTCAACTCAGGCCATATCACACAAAGCTGGTTTGGTCCCCAGCACTGCGTGAATACATAAATAAAAACTTTACATTAATCAAATATATAGAGTGGATATGAAATGTTTTACTTAGACATTATTTGAGCTGGGCATTTTCCACATACCTGTAGTCCCAATTCTTTGAAGGTGAGGGGGGGGGTGGGAAGATCAAGAGGTAAAAGCTAAGCTCTGTTCTATAGGAAGTTGAAGACCTGCCTGGGAGCCCGTCTCATAATTTTTTCTTATATAAATTGATTTTAGTTATTCATATATCTTAACACATATGTATTAAACATTATATGTGCCTGTATTTATATATACTTAAATTAGCATGTTACACAGAGTTACACACAGAACAGAAGAACTCTGGCCAGATGTGGGGTGCACACACTTACTGACAGCACTCAGGAGACAGAAGTAGGCAGTCTGGTCTATGTAGAGTTCCAGGACAGCAAGAATCACTGAGTCTCTAGGAAGAGAGGGTAAGAAGGAAAAGAAAGAAAAGCCAGGCATGGTCCCATGTGCCTAGAATCCCAGCTCCCAGAAGGCAGAGTACAGCACTTCAAGTTCAAGGCCATCCTGGGCTCCACAGTAACCTCTGTCTCCAAAACTTCTTTTTAAAAAAAATTTGTATTTGTTTAAGGTGGTTTATAATTTTGTTTCTGTAGCCTGTAACAGGAAAAACATTCTGTCATGGCTCACATTGGGGGCAAACTCAAGTGCATCTATTAAGAAAATGAATACACACACACACACACACACACATACACACACACACTTCTCACTTTGTTTCCATGAGCCTATTTTCTGTAATTCTCACCGGGGTAATTTGCCAGGCTGTCAGAGGCACATTCTCATGTATTTCAGCGTTCTCCCTCACCTGCACACCGAGCTTCAGAGGTTCTCAGGATAAAGCATCGTTGCTATAGGACTCTACTTCAGAGATCAGAGGTAGCTCGCTGGAGCCCTGTTCTCATCTGTTATCATACAGGCATAGGAGACACTTTTCTGAGGAATCAGGAAGCTATAGGAATTTCTGATTTAGTTTTAATGATGCAAAGAATACATCTTGTTGACTGACCGTCACCCCCACCCTACAAGCCTCACTGTTGAAGGACCTGTCAGTCACAGCTGATCCAGAGTGTGCAAGGCTTCCTTTCCTCAGGAACTTTCAGGCCACATCTCTTGTCTGTACCTCTCCCATAGAAAGCTCGTTGTCCTGTTGGAAATGAGTGACACAAAAATGCCCTTCTTCTTGTTTTAAGAGTAGTACATGAAGGATTCCCTGGAAAGGAGTGGCTAAGTTCATTGCTTAAGTAGCTGCCTCTGAAAAGAATCAAAATGTCACTTCAACAGAGAACTTCCTAACCCGACAAGAGATGTCCCAGGCTCAGCTAGCAAAGGCCTTTGTCATTGTGCCTGATGATCCAAGGTCTATCCCCTAGACCCATATGGGAAAGAGAATCAGCTCCCACAGGTTGGCCTCTGACAATCACACACACAACACAAATGAAAGACATGGTAGACTCCACAGAAGCACACTCCTATAATCTTAGTGCTGGCGAGGGGCCAGGGGCTGGGGTGGGGGGGAAGACAGGAAGTCATAGGCGAAGCCAGACTGCATAAAGGGAGAGCTTGTCTCAGATAAAGGTATTCTATGTAGATACTGTATTTCCAGTGACAAAAGTCTTAGCAATTCCATCTTCTCTATAGAGACCAGTAGTGTTTGCTTTGCCAGTTTCACGTGGACTCAGATACTTTTGTTCAGTTTTGAAACCATCTCCCTCTAGCCCAGGCTAGCCTATAGCTCACTACATAGCCCAGGCTGGCTTTAGCCTCAAGTGCTGGGATTCAGGCATGATCACACTTGTTTGACCACTTTCCTGTGTAATTGCAATGTATGATCTTAAATGCTAGCACCCTCAGAGGGTCTACCCAAAAGAATGTCAGTGAAGTCATTCTAGTTCTCAGACACATACACACAAAAGTAGTCAATATAAAGTAGTGGTCATACTTAATGTTATTAATCAATATTGGCAATGGGAATTGAATTCAAGAAATGATTTTAAGAAACTGGTTCATATGAAATCAAGTTAATACGTGCTATGTTTGGTACCAGGCGATGGTGGCTCATGCCTTTAATCCCATCACTTGGGAGGCAAAGGCAGGTAAAACTCTGTGAGTTCAAGGCCAGCCTGGTCTACAGATCAAGTTCCAGGACAGAAATTTGTCTCAAAAAAACTAGGTGGGAGAAAAAAAGCTAGGTTGGTCATCCATATATCTAGTCACCTAAGCTAGTTAATAAGAAATCCACTGCCATTCAAAACCTAAAATAAAAGCAAACAAAAAGCACATTTCAAATTGAAAAACCAAGACTTAGCTAGTTCATGAGTCTTTGAAGCTTATTTTACAGCAACGCACACACACAAGGGAAGTAGCCATGGTTGTTTGTACCATATTTTATACCAGCCTTATTGTTATTTCTTAAAGAAACTTAACCACCAAACCTAGATCCAAACTGTAAGTTGTGGTTCAATTAAAAGTAATTGGATATATTTTTTTCATAATTAATGGGGTGGTCCACATAAAATAAAGGGAATACATAAACTGCTAGTGAATCACAAGGTAAGAAACAGCTTTCTTTCTAAATCAGCCATGCCTGGTTTCTAGGTGAGGTAGTCAGGATCCAGAGATTAGATTGCAGTCCTCAGTGAAACGATTGGCCCATGGTTAGGCCTGACATTTGCACATACCTGTTTTCATATTAAACTTGGCTGGGGTGCCCTGTGATGGTTGGGTCTGTAGTTGCCAGGGGGTTGGGGTCCCCTCTTGGAGCATGGACCTGGATGTACACTTCTGTTTGTTGACTGCAGCCTGGCAGCGAGCTGGACAACTTGGAAGAGATTTTGGATGATTTGCAGAACAGTCAGTTACCACAGCTTTTCCCAGACACAAGGCCAGGAGCTCCTCCTGGGTCAGTTGACAAGCAAGCCATCATCAATGATCTCATGCAGCTCACAGCGGACAGCAGTCCTGTCACACCAGTCGGAGCCCAGAAAGCAGCACTGCGACTACCACAGAGCAGTGAGTATACTGGTCCCGGGATGTCGAGCAGTCTCCAATTTAATCCCCACCAGAAACAGATTATCCAAGTCGGCTACAGTTTAGTTACTTGGAGCTTTTCTGTGATAAAACAGCACCATCTACTGTCCTAGTCTGTCAAAGTATTCAGTCAGCTTACTGCCATAGTTCCCTTTGGGGAGGAAAATTCAAACCAGGCATGGTTACTACATGCCTGTAATCCCAGACATGAGGCTGAGGCAGGAGGATGTTGAGTTCAGGGCCAAACTGAGCTACATAGTGAGACCTTGTCTCAAAAAAGTTTTAATTGTTCACTAAAAGGCTGCTCACAAATGCCTTGCCTTGCTCTGTCATTTAGGAATCTTACTTTAAATTTTAGCTGAGTAAAAAATGCCATTCACTCTGATAGAATACATTAAGTTTTCAGTTTTGTGTGAAAGAACAGTTTTTGTATAGTTTACAGAAGGACAACTCTTCAGTGCTGGTAAACATAAACACTGTTTCCACCTCAGTAGGACACTGATGCCTACTAGTGTTCTCAAGTCTGAAAAAGCAAACCTCAGTCAAATCAGAGATGGCTCCCTTTAGAAGCTAAGTCCTTTCTTGCATGATTCCTGACCATTCTGGAAAGGGGTAAAGGAAGGTAAGGTGAAGTTTTGTTTGACCCAGGCAATCACAAAGCTGAAGAATTGAGAGAATACGGTAAGAAACATGAGATAGTCCTCCTTAACCCAGACAGTAGCAAAGAACACGGCAGAGGCTCTCAGCTCCTATGCTCGGGAGCTCCCAATAGGACTTGGGATAGTGAACTGACCCGTAGGAAGGCAGAGCTGGGCAAGGTAAGGAATGTCCATTCCCAGCACCGGTTTTTCTGAATTTTTTTTTCTACCATAGGTTGTTGAAAAGTTCTCTTTCTCTTAACTGCTAGTGCAGTGTATGCTTATAAAAGTAAAAGAAAGTAAAGTCTTGATATCCCTAATAAATTAGCTCTATAAATTGGTGTGTGTAGTATTTGAGTGTTTGATCGCATTGTTATACAATTACAGGTCATCTAGTTGACAGCAGATTACTGCTTAGTACAGTCAGTTCTTATGAACCAACCATAAAAATCCATCATTTCAATTCTAAATATGTGCCTAGAGTAAAGTCATACTGCTAGTCATAGCCTACAGTGCAGTGTTGTTTCAGGTGACAGTGTACACTCAACAGTTTTAACTTCTAGTGGCACTAGAAGTATCTACTTCTAACTTATTCTAAACCTTGAGCCCAGTTAAGAAATAGTGTTCTAACATCCAAACTACATGCGTGTAGGTCTGCTGCTGCATGCAAGAGATGTTTATAGGTTTATTACTGTGAAAATCAGAACTCCTGAAGCAGAAGACCATCCCAAATTTGAGGGGAGACCTTATCCAAACAAACAAACAAAAAATGAGAAACAAAAAAAGCCCACCCACCAACATGTAAATAGTGTAACATGAACACTATTGTATTAATGTATCAATGGTTTAGTTAGAAAAAAATTTTCAACACTAAAATTCCTGGAGAGAAAAGATGGTACTTGTTTTACACCTCCTTTTTGCAAGGCCATCGAGTTAGATAATACCTACCGGGTGCTGTGTATGTTTTCTGTCTGTGAGTTGTCTTTCATGGATTTGGTTAACCGGTGATGTACATCTTTGTCATGTTACAGGAGGCATTTTTCCTAAACACTACTTACTGTTAATATTCTTTTTCATTGTCCTTTATTAACCTTTAATTTTTCATTTGTTCTCTCCTTAGCTTTTAATAACCCACGACCAGGGCAACTGGGCAGGTTATTGCCAAACCAGAATTTACCACTTGACATCACATTGCAAAGCCCAACTGGTGCTGGACCTTTCCCACCAATCAGAAACAATAGCCCCTACTCAGTGATACCTCAGCCAGGAATGATGGGTAACCAAGGGATGCTAGGAAGCCAAGGCAACTTAGGGAGCACTAGCACAGGTAAGGGCTCAGGTACTGCTGCTTACTGGTGGGTTGTGTAATTTAACAGTGTGTTCATCGACATCAAATGGTACAACTTGACCAGAAGCGTATTAGATGCTGTCATGTGAAATGTGGAAACCCCATGGATTCCCTATGAGGGAGGCCTCTGGGAAGCCATTCCGTCAAGCTGACCAGGCCATTCTTCAACTCCTGCTTTGAGGAAGTTTCTGATGTCAGTCTTCTTCTCTAGACTTTCTTCACTTCTATCCCAACTTCTGGTCTGAACTTGGAAGGATATATGCAAAATAAATGGAAGGGTGTGTGTACCATAACTAATACTCGTTAGTGTCCATTGGTAATGTGCTGATACCTCCAAAAACGAATAGAAGTTTAAAACTCTACCATTCTTCCACAATTCTAGATCTTTTTCCTGTCTTTCCACATTTCCATTGTTCTCTTAGCTCTGCAGGAGTTGTTGCTGAAGGACAACTTAAGCCATAGACTGTGTTGTTTTGTCTTATTGGCTTTTGTCTTCGGTTTTCTTAAAGTTGAAGCATTTTAACAGCTTCAGGTGAGGGCAAAGTTAAATGAGCACACTGCTTTGAAATCACACCAATCAGGGTGGCTTCCTGGAGATTCAAGAAGTTGCCTGTGATCTCGCTAGATCTTGATTTGCTATGGTTTTCCAGTGTCCTCCATATTGCCCAAGAACATTTCCTAAATGATACATGCTTCTGCCACAGCGGCCATAGAATTCAGAATGAACTCACAGTGTGGGCCTTGCAGCGGCATTTGTCTAGGAAAATGCTGTCTTCCTATGAAAGAGCTGGCTATAATTTACAGTTTTCTTTCCTTGTCTCGGTGACGTATTAGAGACTTGAGCATAGAAATAAGTAGATATTATAAAAAGAGCTTACACTTGGTGGGTGCTTTAATTCTCGCTATTTTATTTTTAGCTCAGTCTGTAATCCCTGTACATTGCCGTTTTAGTTAACTGAAGGTCAGAGAGCTATTTAAGGGGAAATGATGGATGTTTCATCTCCAGTTACTGAGAGAGAATTCATGGGAGGCATGAGCTATACTGTATCAGTTTATTCATTCAACAGATTCTTCCTGCTTGTATACACATGTGTACTGACTCCCTCATTAAATTATAGATTCATGGAAACAGTGATATATTCACTTCATCACTCTTAAATAAAATAATGACTTAAGTAAATATTTGGTGATGTAAAATTCTTTAAAGAGAAGTAGCTGATGAATGGCTAGGAGTAGCTCCCTATCCATGAGTATAGGAAGGTCTACATTGTTGAAGTCTTATGTTAGACCCTAGGACTGTGGGGATGGGCTCCACTAAACTGGGTGTCCTAGGACCTACTAGTGCCCAGGCTGTCAAGATCACAAGATATAAAGACCAGTACCGAAAGGAACAGCGTCCATTTTCATTGCACTGGTGCTGTTGAGTTATAGGTAACTTGACCCTCCTACTGACTATCATCTTGTAATGCTGTCTACATAGGAGATTATTTTGAAAACTAAAATACCTTTTCTCCCATAATATCTGTGTATAGCTAAAGTATAAATGGCTTACAATATATCTTAATATTGCAGTCTTTAACTCTAACTAATCACTTCACCTTTTAACATCTCAGCACATACCTCACTTCACAAGTAAGGAAACATCCATGTTCTAGCCACATGTTCATTATGCCAGATTTGCTTAACCGAAATAAAGTAAATGAAAGCAAGCCATATATTTGAAAGCAAAATCTTTATATCCCCTGTATCACATTTCAAAATAAAGAGATGTTTGTGAGGCTTCTCCTTCAGTATGTGTTAGACAGTGTTTGGCCATCACCCAGGACCTGGACAGTAATAGACCCTGAATCCTGCCTGGTGATGTTGAGTTATCATTGTTCCACATGATCAGATCCAAATGTAGAAGAATTTTCTCATGCCTGTCCTAACGCATTCTGCATCTCCGTGGTCAGGAGTGCAGTGCTCCAGGAGGATAGAACCCCTTAGCTGCAAGGACTGTATCAGGAAGGTCTTTAATTTCCCTAGGACTTAGAGGCTGCTCTTGGTAAATTTTGAAATTTACCAAATTCTAATTTTTGATGGAGGTTGTTGCTGAAGTACCCTGTCCATACAGAAGTGTGCCTGCGGTGGGGCAGCCTCGCTCGATGGTCATCCAGTGAGCATGTCTGCATGCTCCAAAGTGTCCCAGGCTCTGACCCACTGGAAGGATGGGAGGATGCTCAGCTCTTACAAAGGCTTTGCAGGACATTCTCTGACTGAGGTTGATAACTATGGGATTGATTATCAGTTCTTACCTTGTTCCTCCTCACCTCACCTCCCTTTTGGAAAGTAGAGCTCTGACGTGTGTGTCAGCTAATGTGATTCACTTCCTGAGGAAGGAAGTTGGGGTTGTCCACTTGCCGCGGCGCCTGTTCTGAGTACATCTGGGAGCAGTTTTCACAGTTCTTCTGAAGCATAGAGTAGCAGATGCTTGCTGTGAGAACTGTAGTAATCACCAATTCCTAGTTCTTAGTCAAGGGCCCACATCTGCCCCAGGGGGAATGTTTGCTGTGGCCAACTGCAGGTTACAGTCATGGTCTGGGTCTTGTACATAGGTCTGGCCTTCATGCATGTGCTGTTTTCAATGTCTGCATCTCTCAGTTTCCTGTCTTGCGTGCAGGAATGATTGGCGGCAGCACTTCCCGGCCCAACATGCCTTCTGGGGAATGGGCACCACAGAGTCCAGCTGTGAGAGTCACTTGTGCCGCTACCACTGGTGCCATGAACCGGCCAATCCAAGGAGGCATGATTCGGAACCCAACAGCCAGCATCCCCATGCGAGCCAACAGCCAGCCTGGCCAAAGACAGATGCTTCAGTCTCAGGTCATGAACATAGGTAAGCTCCTTACTTGCTGCTCTGTACTCCTTATGCCTCCTTCAGATGGACTGTCAGCTCCATGGTCCTTCCAGGACTTGCTTCTGGCTTGGTGCTTAGGCAATCCTCTGGTGTGAAGCTGTCCTAAATGGAATTTTGGTAAAACCCTGTAGAATCATAGACTAGTTACCTAATTTTAATTTGGAGGCAAAATACATTAAAATGTCATATTATAAATGCTCTGCACATACATATAGATAAATGTGTATATCGTAGTTTAAAGGCAAAGAAATAATAGTTCGGTGGTAGAGCCACAATGTCGAACTCTATGTGGCCATCCTGAACCACTAAAGCCCTCAGCCAGGCTGTGAAGTCAGCATCTTCCCCTCGGCCTCATTGATAGATAACATGGTCACTCAAGAACATGACCCGGCAGCCAGGCATCTCTAGGATTGTATTTGGAGGCAATTCACGTTATTGAAATAAATTTTTGTGCACACTCCACAAAACCTTCATCATAGTTGCCTAAGGCTGAAGGCCTAGAAGGAAGCAGGAACTGACTCCCGCGACAAGGGTTTCATCTCCGGTAGGTGAAGTGTGTCTGTGTTGATGTGGCAGTGGTACACCCAAACATACTGACACCTGTTGGATGTTGTACTTAAAATGCGTGAGTTGTATGATGTATGAATCGTCAGGAAACTTGTTATTACAATAACTTACAATGCCAGCCCTTGGGAAGTGCAGATTCGTCGTCCTCAGCTATGTAGCAAATTTGACCCTATCTCAAGGGAAAGCAAGATCGGTGGTCTCTACAGCTCCTACTTGATATTATTTTTGTAATCATAGACATAGGCTTCCTCTGATCTAAACACTAGCTCAATTCTAAAAAGGGTATGTTTGTAAACTTTCTTGTTAGATATTGCACAGGAAGTGCTAATTCATTCCCAGGAAAATGTGAGATTATTTTGACAGAAGAGCGGGCCTCTTGCCCTAACTCTGACATCAGGTTTCTTCCATAGGTATGGAAGTGCTGTGTGTGTGTTTTGATTCAATATTTCTGAAAATGACATTTATAAATACGTTTCTACACAAATACTCATGGTAGTAGGTGGTTTTCAGACTTAAATTTGTGTTATTTGAAAATACCAAAAATTTAAAAAAAAAAAAAACCAAACTCAAAAGAGATTTCTGTGGAAAATTAAGCTGAGACATTAGTAAGACGCTTATAAAAGTCACAGAGGTCTTATATAGATATTTAATGTACTCCCTGCCTTGCTGATGGTTGTCTCACTCTGGTACTCCTAATACACCTCTGTAAGATTTAGTGTGTAGCATATAGCTGGATTTCTCCAATGGTAAGTACAGTACAAAGCTGTGAATTCGCCCAGTAGAAAATTGCCTGTTGTGGATACCCAGTTAATGGATAATAAAATAATTAGAAATCTCATGTGCCTTAGAGCCACAAAAGGAATCTTAGAGAGTGAAGTATATCTGAATGTGTGCCCTGCTGTGGGAAAGCTAAGACTGTGGAAGTTCTGGTGCAGGTGACCAGGACCAGCGCATCTGCTCCCTGGTCCCTTGCAGTGGGTCTGTGCAGCCTTATACCATATTGCAGATACACGGTCCTCTTCACTCCAGTCTTCTGCAGCCACCCAGTGGAGTGTGGCAGAAATGTTGCACTGTGGGATGCAGGGAGGAAGGGAGTTGAAGGTTCTGCTAAAGCTTTAAGTGAGAGGCCGGACATCCTGCTGTCATTTCTGACCTGGCCGTGCGTGCGCGCGCCCTCAGGTGGACAGCATGAGACTTGTGCTCATTGCTTGCATTTGTACCTCACATCAGAGCTGCATCATCTTGTTCTCACCTACAGTAAACATGGATGCTTTCTAAATTATAAGATGCAAATTTTAAGTTTTTCTTCTTTTTTTCTTCTCCCTCTTTTAGGGCCCTCTGAGTTAGAGATGAACATGGGTGGACCTCAGTATAATCAACAGCAGGCCCCTCCAAACCAAACTGCCCCATGGCCTGAGAGCATCCTGCCTATAGACCAGGCGTCTTTTGCCAGCCAGAACAGGTAAGTCCGTGCACCCCGAGAGTCAGAAGAGTGTTAGCTCATGGCTTGTGGGGTTCTATCAGTTGTTTCAAATGTATGCTGGATGAATTCCTTCGGAATGGATGGTACTTGCCCAGTCATCATTTCTTCAGACCAAGTCATCCACTAGGCACAAAGTGAAAAGAGGGTGCAGAAATCAGCATGGCCTAGACACGCCTTTAAACCCTTGGCAGTTTAGCTGGAAAAGTGATGTTTGTGCTGCTAAGCGGTGTTAGGTAGCAGTGCGCAGTACAGATGTGTGAGGGGAGTAATGTTTCAGTAGCTCGTCCAGCAGGGCTGACAGAGAGGGTTTCAGAGTCTTGGAGGAAGTACACGGGCACAGCGGCCTAGTGCATATGGCCACACAGCACCCTGCTCGGTCAGGGGTTACATAGTAGGTGTAGGGTAATAGGGAGTGATCTTATTGTGAGTTGTGCATATTTTACCACAATTAACAAAAATTAAAAAATAAAAAAAAAAAAGAGGAGGGTTGGCCACCGCCTCTCTGGAATCTAGCTAAATAAGTCCTCCCTCTCATCTCTTCGCAACAGAGACCATTATAGAAAGTCACAATCAAAATGAGGGTTGTGGAGCCCTATCCCAATGGCTATATCTGTAAAACACATCCTCGCCTAAGGCTCAGGGAACATGGTGAAAGAAGGGATGGACAGTATGTATAGCCAGACCACCATGGAGAGACTATGTCCTGGAAACACCAGGAGGCTGCACCTATGAAGTCTCACCACATGGCTGCCTGAGCAGGACATGGTCAAGGATAACTATAAATATTCCAAAGTGGGTGGAGGAATGCCCATGAGGCCTCAGTCCTACACAAGAACTGCAGGCCACTAAGAAATGCTGAAAGGGAGAAACAGTCCTCCCCAGGGAAGAACACACCAACTGGTTATCAATACCACCTGTCAGCCCTGAACATCTACAAATGCAAGTGTAACATTATACAGGCTAAGCAGGTTATACCTAGGAATATATGCATACACATATGCGCATCAACAACAAATGAAAAAGGAAGCCCTGAACTTGAACTAAGCTGGGAGAGATATATGGAGGGCTTGAAGAGAGAAACAGTGTCATTGACATCGGAGCCAGGAAGGTGACACAGTTGATAAAGTGCTTTTTACACCAACATGAAGACCTGAGCTCAGGTCCACAGCCCATTGAAAAGCCAGTTCTAGTGGCCCACAGTGTGTGTGTGTGTGTGTGTGTGTGTGTGTGTGTGTGTGTGTGTGTGTGTAATCCCAGCACTCAGGACAGCAGCCAGGACAGCGAGGACTACACAGAGAAACCACGTCCCAAAGAAAACTGAAAATGAAAACCAAACTCACAGTCTTTCTGCGTGGGCCTCCCGAGAGCAGGAATCACAGGTGTGCACTAGGCTTTAATAGATCACTGTGAACAGGTGTGTGTGTCTACAAGACTTTAGCCACCTTGTTTATACACTGACCTTTTGTTTTTTTCGGTTGTTTGTCAGATTCTGACAGTCTGTCAGACCTTCTCTTTATTTCATCCACACATTGTGTGTGTGTGTACGTGCGTACGTGAGTTTATATGTACCACATGCTGCAGAAGCCCCTGGGCTTCCAAAGGTTGCCTGATGTGGGTGCTAGGACTGAGCTTCCTCTGCTGGAGCATTAAGTGTCTTAACCTCTGCCATCTCTCCAACTGCTCCTTTTTTTTCCCTCTTTTTACTTTTTTTAAAGTATTGGTGTGCATACATGCATGTGTGTGTGCGTGTTGGGAAGCAGAATCAGGTATATCTCTTAACTTCAAAGCCAGACTAGCCTACGTAGTGAGTCATATGCACTCGGCTATTGTGCCCGGGTACTCCCTCCAAGACTCTGCTGGAGGAGCTACTGAAACACGCAACTAGGCTGCTTAGTGAGAGCCTGTCTCAGAAAAACACAACAGCAACAACAGCAGTATTTTATTATTCAGTAGTGTGTGTCTAACTCGGCATCTGTTTTCTGTTGTAAGTACTTGGTTGCTGCAGCGTTAAGAGTTCGTTCTCAGAAAGGCTGAGGCTGGGCTTCCCCAGCTTCAGTGTGATGAAGGTTGGCAAGGCTGTGCTCACGCAGACTCCACAGTCTGTCATGGTTAGACGTCACACTGCCTGTTATTTATCAGTGGAGGAATCTGGGGAGGAAGGTTGTTTTGCAGTACTTTTGACAGACACTAACAGCTGCTAACACAGCTGGACAGAGCCTGTCCTAGTTCAGGTTATCATTGCTGTGATAAGCACTGACCAAAACCAAGTTGGGGAGGAAAGGCTTACACTTTACATAGCCCATCACTGAAGGGAGTTGAGACAGAAATTCAAGCAGGACAGGAACCTGGAGGCAGAAGAGCAGGGAGGGGTGCTCTTATTAGCCTGCTCTCATATAGAACCCAGGACCACCAGCCACACTGAGCTGGGCCCGCCCACGTCAGTCACTAAGAAATGCTCTACAGGCTTGCCAACAGCTGGATGTCACTGAGGCATTTTCTCAATTAAGGTTTTCTCCTCTCTGATGACTGTCAAGGTGACATGAAACTGTCCAGCACAGAGGCAGTACTTCATTATCTCACTAAGCAGCTTCCCAGGCCTGAGGAAACATGATCAAGAACCGACATTGACTTTTGACTACCAGAATTTTCTGAACCCCAGTCTATCCATTTGTTGGACACTCATGTGGGGTGTCTCCTCAGATCCTACTGTGACATGTGATTGTCTGCTTTTCTTCCTCACATTGTCATTTCTCTGCAACTTTCTCTTCAGCTCCTAAATTATAACAGGAGAGGAGAGATCTGATCTCACTTGTGTTTTGAGATTTAATTTAGGGAGTGTGGATTATGGAGAAAAACGAAGAGAGCACATGTTGAACATGCTCAATACAGGCAGGCTGCTCTTCCACAAGCCTCTCACCTTACTAGTGGCAGGAGAGAGCGAGCACAGGGATGCACACACTCCACGCAGCCTGTGGTGCTCTTGCCTCACGTGGCCTCCAGCCAGCTCGCTATGGAGCAGAAGCAGTAGGACTGTGACCTGTGACCTGTAGGTCAGCAAGTGAGATGAGGCATCGAAGGACACCCGCTGGGTGATTTCCTCTAAACCATGGGACCACATAGGGAATATAGACTGCACATTGGTTCATTCTACTGTCATTGTTTGAAATTAATTGTTGGTTTGGGTGCTCAGCAGGACACCAGGTTACAGTTCTAAGTCAGAGTAGCATACTAGACTGCCTAAGAAAACAGCGGACTTGACCTGGCCAGGGCCAGACAAGTCCCTTGATAAATTTATTTCCACTTGTTTAAGAATGAGTTTTCTGGGATGTGAACATATGTTGCCTGGCACATATGATCCCCTGGGTTCAAGTCCTAGTACCACACACAATAAAAAGTAAGTTTATCTGTAAACTTGTGCGTTCTCCACGGTATTATGAAGTAGGTCTACAATACAAAACTGACTTTGGTGAAATACTAGTATTATTTTCTCTCCCAGGTTTGCAGTGACTAGAAGCTCCTCTAATTTGTTTGGTAACTTAATTATGTTATATACCATAGAAATGACAGTTTAGTGACAAGATCACATATTGCCTTATAGCAATTACAGGTAGAAGGTTTGTGATCTCCTTCCCTTAACACCTAACTCATGAGGGCTAACAGGTACACTTCTTCAGAGTTTTAGTAAATACTTGCAAATTCAGGCAATTCACTCAAGCCCAGATTGTACTCAAGTGCGTGAGTCTGCTGTTCTCCCCTCTGTGCTCACTGTGGCCTCACAGGAAAGGACTGCACAGTCACTGCACTCTGCTGAGAGCTCTAGAATATTTGAGCCTGTCAGCACACACAGCAGATCCGTGCACATGCACACATGCACGAGTGCACATACACACACACACAAACGTGCAGCTCTGTGAAGTTAGGTAGGTGAGCCCCCAACACACACATCAAAGTAGCTTTTATGGCAGTGCCTTTCGGACTTTGCACAGACGTGGGTACCTGGCTAAGCTAACCCCTTACTTTGTGGGAGGGTATAGAGACATAACTGCTTTAACTGGCCTTTATTAACACTAAATAAAGTGGATTTTTCAGGTGCATATTTTCAAAAATCTTCATTCTGTTCAGTGCTTAGCTTGTTGAAGAGACCCTAGAAATCAGCTGGTATTTCTACCAGCCGATGGTGCATTTGTCTCTTTACAGGCAGCCCTTCGGCAGCTCCCCTGATGACCTGCTGTGTCCACATCCTGCAGCAGAGTCACCAAGTGATGAGGGCGCTCTTCTAGACCAGCTGTATTTAGCCCTGCGAAACTTCGATGGCCTCGAGGAGATTGATAGAGCTCTGGGGATCCCAGAACTGGTCAGCCAGGTAGGCCAGAGCATCGCAGTGGCCAGGCACTGCATAGGCCAAAGCCTCTGTTCCTGCGGGCTGCTCTGGGATGCTTTTCACCTCCCTATAGGCAGGCCTCCCTACTCCTCCTCTTCTCTCTCCTACTCTCACATAAACTGTTGCCCAAGAAGCACCTGGGAAGGACCATTACATAAGACGAGTCACAGCAGAAAGGCAGAAGTAAAGCCCAGAGCCTCTTGCCCATGCTTGCTGATAGGGCAGATTAGGGGAAAACATGTTAGAAAAACCACAGGGTCACTGCTTCCTGGGGGCCTTGGTCCTCACCACTGGGATGGGAGACAGTGTGAGCACAGGCCTGTCTTGCTGTGCCTGTGAACTGAGTAGGCAGCCACTACTGAGAAAGGACTGTTTCACACATAGGTAGCAGAAGCATCTATGTATGATTGCAGCTCGCCCAACACTCCAGCCCTTATGTGAATGTCACCCATAACAATTGAAGATGTCAACCACCCTAGTGAGTTTAGTTTTCTCTCTGTTTCCCAGTTAGTTTATTTGAAGAAGTAATAGACTGTACTGCTTTGATTTGAGAATACCTGTGAGGCTGGGATAACCTCATGTCCCCCTTTAGTGTCCGAAGCTGTCCCTGCAGCTGCTGTCCTGTGAAATCGCCTCCTGGTTTGCAGTAGAAGGAGGGATCTAGAAGAGTCCTCCTTCCCGTCCAGTGCCAGTCTCTCTCTCTTTGTCACAAGCACCTGCCAAGGCCAGGCTGCCTGGCTCTGCAGCATGTCTCTGTAAGGATAGTGGCACCGTCATTAAAGACTCTGGAACCTTAAAAACAGTCATAATTCCCAGAGTTTAGCAGACGTAGGTGGGAGTTCAGACTTGTCGATTCATATTGAAAACAGCAGAGTGGAGTAAATGACTGGAGGTTACACGGTGCACCCTCAGCAAAGCCGGAAAGTAGCCGGGGACCTGTTTCCTGTGGAGCTGGTTGGCGTTGCCTTTAGTGTCAGCTAGAACTCAGCTTTTCTATGATTGTCCTCGAGTTTATGCAAGTGACACTCTTAAATGTCCTTGGAGTTCCTCAGTGACTTGTAACACTTTGGGGCACTTTGGAAGGGGTTTTATGTTTTGTTTTTTTTTTGTTGTTTTTTTTTTTTAGGTTTTTCCAGACAGGGTTTCTCTGTGTAGCCCTGGCTGTCCTGGAACTCACTCTGTAGACCAGGCTGGCCTCGAACTCAGAAATCCGCCTGCCTCTGCCTCCCAAGTGCTGGGATTAAAGGCATGCGCCCACTGCCCAGCTGGTTTTGTGTTTTAAGAGATTAGATTTTTAGGAGATTTAAGAGATCTTCCCCTGCCCAGTCTAGGCTCAAACTTATGCCAGTTGACCTGTCTTGGCCTCCAAAATATTGAAATACTTTAAAAATTAAATACTTGAAAAATTAAAACCAGTGTTGTATCATTTTGAATGTTCTGTAACATCTCTTCAGGTTAGTCACCATGTCATTTAAGCTGAACTGCAGACAGCATTCTTAGGTGTAGTGGTGGAAGTGTGGTATGCATATGTACTATACATTAGCCAGAGTTGCATACACAGTTTAAAAATAAAGTACTTGTCTTACAAACATCTCCAGAGCCCAGGAAAAAACACCAGGCTCAGTGGTACACTCTTCACCCCAGCAGTGGTGAATTTGTGAGGGTGGAAACAGGAAGATCCCAGACCACCAGCCAGTCTAGCATAATCTGTGAATTCTTAAAAAAAAAAAAAAGTGAGACCTGTCTCAAAGCAAAAACTAAATAGAACAATATGGAAATAACCTAAGTAGATTTTCCATTAAATATGAACAGATATAAAGGTCTGAGATATTTCAACAAGGAATGCTCTACCTGCTGGTGGTACTCCATGCATGCATGCTTTTTAAGTTGTAGAGAGGAGAGAGCAGAGTACTGAAGCCGTCCTGCTGACCACAGACCACAGGCAGCATTATCATTGTCCCAGGATGCTGTGCAGCACCAGGACAGCTGGAAGGACTGAGGCAGGGCTACCATAGCAATAACCTGAAGGCTGCTTGAGATTTTCCTGCTGCTGGGGCTTGCCCTTCTAAAGACCTTTAGATGTGTAGCCGTGACTTCTAGGACAAGGGCTGGCCAGGTATATTACATCTTCACATTGATACTCAGGCCACATAGATTTAAGACATTCTCCCTGAGAAAGCTCTAGATTTCCTATGTATAGAAACAGGAAGATCAGCCCACTGGCAGAAATGACAAACACCTTGTCTCGGAACTGAATAAAGAGCTGCATCCTCAGAAATCTTCCAAGCCTCCTTACACACTCACGTGCACTCACTCTGTGCTTGCTCGCTCTCTCTCTCATTCTCTCTCTCTCTCTCTCACACACACACACACACACACACCCATACACACACACACTCACTCACATGAGCACACACATTTTTAAAAACTGTGTAGCTAATGTAAGTTGCAGCTGGAGTTTGTGCAGCTCTCTCTGTAAGACACATCTCAGCCAGGTATGGCATCACATGCCTTTACTCCCAGTAACTGTTGAGACAGACAGATCTTTGTGAGTTTGAGGCCAACTCAGTCTACATACTGAGTTCCAGGACAGCAGGGCTACATAATAAGACCATGTCTTGGAGATTTAAAAACAAAATGCATCTTTCAGACAATTAAATTAACCAAATAGATCCTAAGCAGTCTTGCAAATTCTCTGTCAGATGCTGGTCAAGGCACAGGGAGGATCTGCTGTATATCCTTACACCTCCCATTCCTTTCCCGCTATAGGTCTGTGATAGGGGAAGCAGCTGTCTAAAAATCAAATGGCAAGCACATTGAATATGTCTGGCATGTAGTAAGTGAATTGTAGCAAAGTGTGGGAATGTAAGAAATTCCACCAGTCGGCCGGGCAGTGGTGGCGCACGCCTTTAATCCCAGCACTTGGGAGGCAGAGACAGGTGGATTTCTGAGTTCGAGGCCAGCCTGGTCTACAGAGTGAGTTCCGGGACAGCCAGGGCTACACAGAGAAACCTTGTCTCGAAAAACCAAAAAAGAAAAAAAAAAAAGAAAAGAAATTCCACCAGCCATAGAGAACAGCTTAATAAACAAGTGTAAGCCAGGCATTGTGGCATTGACCTGTAATCCCAGCACTTGGAAGCTTGAGGCCAGAGGCTCAAGTTGAAACCCAACTTGGTCTACATAGAAAGTTAGAGACCACCTTGGGCTATGTAAGACCCTATATCAAACTGTTCCCACCCAAAACATAAGAGGCAGTGTCTCACCCCACTGAAGAGTTCAAGCTTCCCCTTGTAATGTGTAGCAAGCGTACCAAGTCTTAGCTGGAAAGACTCCCTGCAGTCCATCGGCCTTATGTCCCCAAGTCTGCTTTGTTTTCTAGAGTGAAGACAGGGGGCTGTTTTCCCAGCACTGCTAATGGGGACTAAGGCAATCATGACTTAAAATGAGTGATAAGGGTTGTGTGCTCAGTCAAAAGAGGGAACACTTGCAGCTGCCTGCTCATCAAAGCCCCTGCCAGATTCTCACTGGAGGGGAGTAGGAGCATTGCATGGTCCTTGGTCCCACCACCTGGAGGAAGCAGGGAGACACCCTGACCCTTGCTTCTTCCCTTGGGTAATTACAAAGATGCATTGTGTAGAAGGAAAAGTAGAGGCAGGCTAAAACCTCCATTGGTAAAGTTGGTACAGTATTTCTAAAACATCAGTTACAGTTGGGAGACAGAGCAGCCTGTTGCTCAGTACCATGTTCTTAGTAGCTTTACTTATGTGCTTATTTGGGGTTTCTTTTCAGAGCCAAGCTGTAGATCCAGAGCAGTTCTCAAGTCAAGAGTCTGGCATAATGCTGGAGCAGAAGGCTTCTGTTTTCCCACAGCAGTATGCATCTCAGGCACAAATGGCCCAGGGTAGCTATAATCCCATGCAAGATCCAAACTTTCACACCATGGGACAGCGGCCAAATTACACCACACTCCGGATGCAGCCCCGACCAGGTCTCAGGCCCACGGGCATCGTGCAGAACCAGCCAAACCAACTGAGACTTCAGCTTCAGCATCGCCTTCAAGCACAGCAGGTTAATTTTGCATGGAACTCTCAGGCTGGGGGCCATGATTGGCTGGGGACTCAAGAAGATTAGCGTTGAGTTGGAGAGGGCTGTTAATTGGAAAAGATGATTTGAAGTACATATCTCCTATTGTGTAAATGTATTGAGCTAAGAATGGCTACATTACCCTTTAATCCCAGTACTCAGGAGGCAGAGGCAGGTGGATCTCTGTGAGTTCAAGGCCAGCCTGGTCTACAGGACAGCCAGAACTACACAGAGAAACCCTGTCTCAAAAAAATATGGATGGATTCTAAGTCAGCCTGGGTTACATAGTAAGACCCTGTCTCAAATTGCCCCCTTCCCGACAAAAGCTAATGCCTCTGTGTCTGTGTTTAGAATCGCCAGCCACTTATGAATCAGATCAGCAGTGTCTCCAATGTGAACTTGACTCTGAGGCCTGGAGTACCATCTCAGGTGAGAAGCCTCTCCCATCATTTTTCCTCCCAGATAGGCTGAGTAAGCAGCCACCCAGCCCAGGTCCACACCCTGGTCTTGCATACCCTAGGTCCACCCAGCTTGGAATGGCTTTTCCCCAGTCCTCTGACTCCATGTTTTAGCTCTTAGTGCCACCTCTGTTGGCAAAGCCAGCTGATTCTTGTAATACACAAAAGTTGTATTAGACAGTACCAACCAATCCTGGATTCAAGGACTGGCCAACATTCCCATGAGAACACAGGCTTAGCCTTCGAGACTCTGATCACAACATTGTTCTCAGCATATCAATACATGGCCTTGTTTCTATGGAGTTTCTGTGTGAAGACATTTTATGTATATGTAATTTACTCATTAACTTAAACTCAGTCAACAGGCTATCTCAGACCCAAACGAGCCTTGCCCAACACTTACACTTTCTCCGTAAAGCACACTCATGTCTTCCACTTCAGAACACTGGACAGTACAGCACCAGCACAAAGCCTGCTAGGTTCTGTTGGGCCACATAAGAAGGCCACATGTCCATCACACCCTCCCCTTGGTGGGAAATGCTAAGCATATGGAATTCTTTGCTGCTATACTTACAGTCATAAATGGTTTAACTATGCTGTGCGTACTGATGTTGGGAATTACAGAGTGGACAGCCTCATGAGTAGCTAGGGTATGCCATCCCAGCACCAGTGTACACACCCAGGGTCCCCTCTCACGTCCATGTCACCCATCCTGGCCTCCCAGCACAATCAACCCAAGTAAAGACCATTCTGAGATCAGGTTCATCTGGGGTGGTATGGCCATAGACAGGGGACACCTGTGCAGAGAGATTAAGTGAGGTAACTGAAGTCACTATCAGATCATGCCCACCTCTCTCTCTCTCCAAAGTCACCTTTGGCAGTGATTTGGTTTCTTGTTAGGTTGGAATGTTCTTAGAAGAGATTCTAAATGCTGTCCTCAACTTATATAAAAAGTCTTCTGCCCGGCGAGGTTGCACATGCTGTAATCCCAGTGTACTCGCGGCACTCAGGAGGCTAGAGCAAGAGAATAAAGAGTTGACAGGTGAGCTACATAGATGGCTCCTCTTTTAGAGGACCCAGGTGCAATTCCCAGCACCCACAGAGCAGCACATGGTCACCTGTAATTCCGTTTTCTGGTGATTGAATGCCCTCTGTGAGCACTGCACACATAAAATAAAATTTAAAAATAAACACAGTCTTCCTGTAGAAAGGCCTGTGCTCTTTTGAAGTCCTTTGGTTGACTGTACCCTCAAGAAATGAGTTGGTTGGTATCAGCAGGGTTATAGAATTGGCACACAGGTGGGACTTAGAGCGTGCTCACCATGTGTTCCTTTCTGAGGACCTCCTTTCATGGAACTTTGCTTTCCAAGTGATGTTACATATGCATGCCATTGGTGTCCTGTCTGACCTGTCTGTCATTGGTTTTCCTTCATGATTGCCCCCCATTTCAGGCTCCTATCAATGCACAGATGCTGGCTCAGAGGCAGAGAGAAATCCTCAACCAGCATCTTCGGCAGAGACAGATGCATCAGCAACAGCAGGTGCAGCAGCGAACTTTGATGATGAGAGGACAAGGGTTGACTATGACCCCAAGCATGGTGGCTCCCACTGGTCTCCCAGCAGCCATGAGCAATCCCCGGATTCCCCAGGCCAATGCCCAGCAGTTCCCATTTCCTCCGAACTACGGTACTGGACTTCGATCCCTCCTGCCGTCGCCGTCCTCTCTGACCTATCTGTTCTTTCTCCTTTCTCCCCAAGGCCCTTCAGTCCTGGTCACAGCTCTGTGCCTGGTTAACCAGGGAATGATGGGAAACCTGGGAGGAGGTTGGGGTCTGGCAAGAGTCTCCCAGTCCCACACAGTACGCATCTGTTAGCTCAGGTCCTCCTTTGCTTTGGGTTGTGGTTCTTTAAGAATGACCAAAGTTAAGTGTTTATGTATCTCTGGGTGTGTGAGCATGCATGAGTGTCAGTGTCTTTGAATATATTATACACTGCTACTTATATTTGATTATCTCTGAGTCTGACACAAATCAGTAACTAGATATGAAATGTCAAAAGACATAAATCAATTTAAATATTACCAACAGTCTACAGTTTTTGAAAAATAAAGACTTCATTTGTTACTGACAACACTTATCAAAAAAGAAAATAAAAACTTTCAAGATTATACCAAGTCTTTACTGAGTAGGTAATTCTTGAAGTTTTAAACAGACCCACATGGGAAGCCACTTGCTTTACTTTATATAGATTTGTTCTGTAATGTTAGTCTAACAGATGAGATACAAGGATAATGTCATAGAGATTAATATTTGTGTTGTATCATCTTCAATAGTGGCATTCTTAGTGCTTACATAATGCTTATGTAATTTTTCTGTGTATACTTAATGTGGAACATTTTCTCGATGGCATTAAGTGTTCCAAATGGCTCTGCTTTACCCTGCTGAGTGATCTGTAAGGAACCATGAAGGCCTTTGTGTTGCCTAAATACAAATATCCTGTCTCTGTAAACAACAAGACAGTGCATTGCTTTTTTTTTTTTTTGTCCTCTTTAGATTTTTCTTTTGTAGCTACTTTTAAATATTAAGTGCTGCATAGGATTAAAAAATGTGTTCTTACTCAGTCCCTGAAATGCCCTCTTCACCACCTCCCTTTCCCATTGCCTCTGCTGGGTTTCCATTTGATGGCTAAGGAAAGTCTGCTGAGATTCCTTTCCATTTGCTGTGAATTCTTTTACCCAGAAACTGAACAAGAAATAGATAATCTTGTCAACACTCAAGTGCCACAAGCCCTTTTTTAAAAACAAAATAAGCCAATGTGGACATGCAATTATGTATTTTCTAAAATACATCACCTGAACATGGGATAATGTAAGTTAATTTAATGTAAAGTTATTCATATGTTGACTTAGGTATAGAGCTGAATTTAATGAGCTCAAACTAAATTTAAAACAATACAATGACAGTGACTGACCGGCTCAGATGAAATCAAGCCTATGTAGTAGGCTCATCCTTGGTTTGGCGAGGCCATAAGGAGCAGGTGTCATTTCTCTGATTCCAGCCCTGAGGTTAGTGTTAGGACCCCTGTGACTGTGGTAGAGATTTCAAGTATGGAGAGGGTTTTTTTTTTCACCACGCACTCCTGTCTCAGCTTCTTTCAAACGTCTAATAATTTGTACAGAATCAGACATTTGAAAGTAATTTTTCTGTGTATACGTAACGTGGAACATTATCTCTGTGATATAGCTAACAATCTTTTTTGGACTTCTGTTTTGTTTTTGTTTTTAAGGAATAAGTCAACAACCTGATCCTGGTTTTACTGGGGCTACAACTCCCCAGAGTCCTCTAATGTCTCCCCGGATGGCACATACCCAGAGTCCCATGATGCAGCAGTCTCAAGCCAACCCAGCCTACCAGCCCGCCTCAGACATGAACGGATGGGCACAGGGGAGCATGGGTGGAAACAGGTAACATCCCATTATTGAGTCTGATATAAATGATCACTCTTAGAAACTTTCTACAGAATAGCCATCCCTTCTATCCATATTTTTTAAATTGTATGTGCTTGAGCAAGCAATAGCAAATGAACTGCTAAAAGCCAGCTTACTCTTTAGCAAAAGTCAACAGTTTCACAGAAGCCTAGCACAGTACCTCTTGTTCTGGAACAAAAGCAACACCTCTAAGCAGGTACCACTCCTAACTGTAGAACTCCTGTGAAGGCGGTGACACAGAACCAGGCTTTATCATTACATGTGACAAAAAGCAAACAGCAAGCCCCCAGCAGCTGGGAAAGTAGGAGTGTGTGTGATTCTCAGTAGTGTGTGTAAGAGAAGAAGCAAGCTTGGTGTCTGTGCCAGCATCCCTTTAGATACATTCATTCTAGAACAAGTACCCAAGACTACCTCAGTTTACCATCAGACTTACCCCACCTCCCATGTTCCAGCATGTTTTCACAGCAGTCCCCACCACACTTTGGGCAACAAGCAAACACCAGCATGTACAATAACAACATGAACATCAATGTGTCCATGGCAACCAACACGGGTGGCTTGAGCAACATGAACCAGATGACAGGCCAGATGAGCATGACCTCAGTGACCTCCGTGCCTACATCAGGGCTGTCCTCCATGGGTCCCGAGCAGGTAAGAACCTCAGAGAAGCAGCAGCTCAGAACTTCCTGCTCTTGACTTTTTGTCTGTTTATACCTCAAGTCCTATGTCTATTTTGAAAAGTGTTTTTTCACCTTATTTTCACCTGTGCCAGTGAGATTTAACAAAAATACTTGTTAATGACAAAGGAACTATTGGGAAGGACTCCTGGCTGCTAACGGGCTGGGTGGGGTTTTTTGTTTGGTTGGTTGGTTGGTTGGTTGGTTGGTTGGTTGGTTGGTTGGTTGGTTTGGTTTTGGCTTTGTTTTTTATTTTTTTAACTTTCACATCATTAGCCTTTTTTGTAATTTATGGGATTTAGAAATAGAGTAGTAGGTGTTATAAAGTTTTTGCTGGGCATGGTGACCCACACCTGTAGTCCCAGCAGACACAGGTGGGTCTTTGTGAGTTCGAGGCCAACCTGGTCTACAGAGCACATTCTGGGACAGCCATGGCTATGCAGAGAAATCCTGTCTCAAAAAACAAAACAAAAATAGCTTTTTAAAACCTATGGTAAACATGGGCCACACTGCCTGCCAGCTGGTCACTCTCAGTGCCGTCCGTTTTGCTTACATGAGAAGGCTGACACTTTGTTGGCCCCCTCACTGTTCAGTGCAGGTGCCATGGGTTTTTTCTGGACAGTCTTTAAAGTTTTACTTTATAAGGCAGATGAGGCCAGCCTGGACTCTGAGACATGTCAGAGAGGGGAAGGGAGAAGATGTGAGCTTGAAGTGAAGGCCCACACTGTGGACATGAGCGGCTTCTGCTCTGTCAGGCCAGTGTTGAGAGAGGGGTGCACAGAGACACAGAGTGAGCAGAGTCCTCCCTCCAGGAACAGCTTGATGCAGTCAGCAACCCAGATCATTTGACATGTGTGCATGGATTTAAATGGGTTTGAGTTTCAGAGTTAATATCAAAGCCCAAGACAAACAAACCCACAACTACAGTGTGCCTTCTGAAAAATCAGTCTCTGTTAGCACTGGTGGGCTGGCTCAGTGAGTAAAAGCACCTGCTACTGAGCCTTACAGCCTGAGCGTGGTCCCAGGACTCCCGTGAGAGAGCCTCTGCCTCCACACTCGAGGCACACAGACATACATGCACATCGTGCACATAAATGGAAGAAGAAGAGTTTTTAAAGAAATACATAAGTGCTAATGAGTAGGTTGTTTGGCCAGTCTGCTCCTGAAAGGCAGCGCTGTCTGGGTATTCTCACGCTGCTCTTGCTAATGAATAACTTGCCTGAGTAGCGGAGGTGTCAGGATGGCCTCAGGTGCTTCACACTCACAGGACTGAGTCACCAGCCTGATTTGAACCAGCTAAAAAAAAAACAGAAAACAGGATATAAATGAAATAAACTTTGCTTTTGAAAACAAGTAATATTTCTGGCCTTCTCTGCCCCAAAGTGTGCATGTGGAGAGCAGTTAGTTAGGCTGTGGGGTCATGGTAATGCAGTCACTTTTCTCTAGGGGCGCAAAGCCTAAAATTTGTCATGTGTTGTCACCACAGGTCAATGACCCTGCTCTGAGGGGAGGCAGCCTTTTCTCAAACCAACTGCCTGGAATGGACATGATCAAGCAGGAGGGAGATGCATCTCGGGTAAGCAGCAGGAGCCCAGAGTGCACCTTAGGGTGGCTGTGAGTGTTCTGAAGGGCAAAGGCCTCTGCCTGGCTCAGCCTGGAAAATGCTGGGATCAAAGGAGCACACTACAAAAACAGCAGGCATGGCGGTGCATGCCTTTAACTCTGGCTCTGAGCAGGCAGACACAGGAGAGTCAGGAGTTCAAGATCAGCTATACAGTGAGTTAACTCCAGCCTGGGCTACATGTTACCCTATCTTAGAACAAACAAAAAAACCAATACACTCCACCTTGAAAAAAACAAGAAAATAAATATTTACACAGAAAGCACTCTACACAAAGTGAAATTATAGCTGGTAACATAGTTCCGTGGTAGAGTACTGTGCTAGCATGCATGAGGCCCTGGGTTCAATTCCAGTACTGACAAAAAATAAAAAATAAAGTGAAATTATAAAATACTTTCCAGTTCTTTCTAACACTGATTTACACTACCATGCCCAGCCCTCAAAAAAGTTTATCTTGTCAGATAGAGGCAAGAGGATGAGGGATTCAGTATCATTAGCAAGTCTGGAGCCAGCCCAGGTTACATGAGATCCAGTTTCAAAAAATAAAGCAAGGGCCAGGCAGATACCTGAAATAAATCCCCAAATTTAAAGTAGAAAGAGAACCAACTCCCAACGTTATCCTCAGACCTCCACATGGATACCTGCAAATAACACATAGACAATAAAATTTTTAAATAACCTTTCAGGTCCACCTCAGGATACTCAAAAACAAACAAACAATAACTTGATCCCAATGGAGAAAATGTAGTATAAATGAACATTGAATTTCCTTAATCCAGATGCTTTTTGTTATTAATAGTATTCAGGTTTAGAGTAAACCCAGCCCATTTCTCAGTAGTATCATGTATTTGTTTTCCCACTGTGACTTCTGGGTTTTGTAACCATGATCATGGGCTTCAGAAATACTGACAGTGATTAGGGGTCCTATAGCTGTTCCTCATACATATCCTTATAACGTGATGGTTATAAGGAGTAACTAATCCTTATAACCACTTACTGTATCTTTCTTACTTTTTATATCTGTATCTGGTATATATGCATACCAGGTAAGCATGTCAGGCACTGGGATAAAGTCTATACAGAAGGTGTTTCACAGGGCTAGTGCCTCCCCTGTAGCTATAGCCTTCACAGAAAGCAAGTGCAACGAGCTCAGGAGTGACTTACACGCTAAAACAGAGTTCCAAACCCTGGGCTCCACTTACCTGAGGCACAGTGACAGCAGGTGACAATCAGGCAAGCTCAGAGGACAGCCCATTTTAACTGAAAAGTGTGAGGGGAGCCTAGCCAGAGTATACCATACTCTGAGGACAAGTTCTCATCCCCACTGTGAGTGTGGCACAGTACAACTTAGCCTCTCTAACTAACCCCAGCCTGCAGCTGCTGGCCTGAGCCAGGTAGCAGTTGAACAGCTGTCTAGGAAAAACCTTTTGCCAGCCAAGCCCTCCGAAGCAGAGAGCTCAGGCTTCTATTTTCTCCCAGGAGCACCAGGAATTGCCCAGCTTTGTGTCCTCTGCTTTCTTGCCTCCAGAAGGAGGAACTTAAATCTTGTAAGGCAGAGCATTGTTTTCCATCCATGTAATGTCCTTGAACATTGCTTTTGATACCACACTGTCTGTCCAACTACAGCCTTAAGAATGTAATGACTTGTCCAAAGTCTGGAGAGATCAGAAAGCAAGCCCAAGCAAGCTGGCCTCTGAATGCCCACCTATTCTTAACCTGAGCACCACCGTCCACTCCCCAGAGAGACAAGCGGGCTCCCACAAGGATTTTCTAAGGCTCAAAGGAGCAAGCTGTTTCTTTGGTGCCCTCCCCCACCTTGCTATTCAGGTCCTGAAGGAAGGCAGAGTCACAGAGACACAGCAAAAGTTTCAGCTACGTGTTTAGGTGTCATCAGTCTCCTTAAGCATCCAGATACTTCATCTCAGGAGGGAAGAGCCTCCAAAGCCAAGACACAATGTCCCTTTTGGACTCTGTCAGGCCTGCATGGATGTTAAAGGTTCACCATCCTGTGTTAGAATGTAGGCGAAGACCAAGAAAGCGGTGACCAACACCAACCCAGCTGAGGAAGAAAGCCTGGAGCACTGGGTGTCACCCAGCCCAGAGCCACCTCCCCAAAAGACTCTTCTGGCGAGGCTAATGGAGTCCCAGCCTTGATCAGCAGAACTCACAGGAAAGCTGGCTGTGGAGTGCCCAGAATGCTTGCAGGGACACAGAAGGCTCATATACTCTTTCTGTCTGGCTTCCTCGCTCCAAATAGGGACTCTAGTGGCCCCCAAGTACCTGCTGCTCAGTACAGTCTTGGCACATAGTCGTCTAGATTCTGAGGTGAGAGTGTGGTGTTTATCTTCATGCAGTCAGGGTGAGCATCCCCTCCTAGGACCTTGGAAGTGACTCAGCGCAGTCTAGGGAGGGAACACTTGCACAGGCCTTTATTGCCAGGACTCAGGAAGCAGAGACGGGTGTCTATGAATGAGAGCCCAACCTGGTTTATGTAAAGAATTCCAAGGCCCTGTCTTAAGAAGTAGGGAAGAGAGGCCGGGCGGTGGTGGTGCACGCCTTTAATCCCAGCACTTGGGAGGCAAAGGCAGGTGGATTTCTGAGTTCAAGGCCAGCCTGGTCTACAGAGTGAGTTCCAGGACAGCCAGGGCTACACAGAGAAACCCTGTCTCGGAAAAAAAAAAAAAAGAAGTAGGGAAGAGAACTGGAGAGAGGCTCAGTGACTGAAAGTACCTGCTGTTCTTCCAGGGGTTCTGTTCTCAACGCAGGTCAGTGGCTCATAGCCCCTGTAACTCTACTCTCAGGGGTTCTGACACCCTATACACATACAAATTAAAAATAAAACATCAGGGGCTGGTGAGATGGCTCAGTGGTTAAGAGCACTGACTGCTCTTCCAGAGGTCCTGAGTTCAATTCCCAGCAACCACATGGTAGCTCACAACCATCTGTAATTGGATCCGATGCCCTCTTCTGGTGTGTCTGAAGACAGCGACAGTGTACTCACATACATGAAATAAATAAATAAATCTTTAAAAAAAAAGTTTGTTAAAAAAAGAAAACATCAAATAATCTTTAAAAAAAAAAAAATCAAAAGAAGCCAGGTATGGTGGGTAGCACACGCCTTTAATCCCAGCACTTGAGAGACAAAGGTAGGAGTAGAAGGATCTTTGTGAAACGAAGGCCAGCCTGGTCTACATAATGAGTTCCAGGATAACCAGTATTATATAGACCCTGTCTCAACGACAAACAAATTTTTTAAAATGCCAAAGAAATATTCTTGGGCTGGGGAGGTACTCAGTGAGTAAAGTGTTTGCTATGCAAACATGAGGATCTCAGTTCAAATCCCCAGCTCTCAACTAAAAAGCTGGGCATGGTAGCATATACCTGTAACCGCGGAAAGCTGGGCATGGGCATGGTAGCACATACCTGTAACCCAGTACTTGAGGGAAGCGGAAAGGAAACAAGCCAGTCTAGCTGATCAAAGAGGTTTAGGTTCAGTGAGACTGGGCCTCAAAGACCAGGGTAGAATGATAGAGAAAAACAGCAGATGTCAACATCTGTCCATAGCACATGCGTACACACAAGCAAGTTAAGTACATAATTCTACAAAATGGTGGGTTTGGGTGGCAGTGTGAACTTAGTAGCCAGGCAGACTTTAACCTTGAGGTCCCTGCCTGCACCTCCTAAGTGCTGGCATTATGGGCCTATGCAGCCACACCTGACTGGAGGGACATCTTTGGTAAGGGAGGCAGAAGTCGTTCTGCAGAGACTGATGGTCCATCCCGATCTCACTGCAGCCTGCAGGAAGCTTCACACTGATGAGTTGAGCTTGTCCATGGCACATTTAGTTAGGAACAGCGCCATCTGCCTTCCCATGTCAGAATCACATCTACTCATTAAATGTGGGACCTTCCTGACTGGTGTCATCTAGAATAAGCTAGTATTTTGTGTTTTGAGATGATCACTCAGCCGGGTGGTGGTGGCGCACGCCTTTAATCCCATAATCCCAGAACTTGGGAGGCAGAGGCAGGTGGATTTCTGAGTTCGAGGCCAGCCTGTTCTACTGAGTGAGTTCCAGGACAGCCAGGGCTACACAGAGAAACCCTGTCTCGAAAAACCAAAAAAAAAAGAGAGAGAGAGAGAGAGAGAGAGAGAGAGAGAGATGATCACTCCATTGTTTTTATGTTTTTAAATTTTTTTTTTAAAAAGCCTCTTGATCTTGCCATATGGCGGAGCACACATTTGAGAGACTAGTGTGAGGGAAGGAACAATAGGCCGGGTGGCAGCAGAGAGAATCTAGCAAACATACAGAGCCTCATGTCCTCACACGACCTTTCTGTTTCCCTTCAGAAATACTGCTGACCTCAGAAGCTGTCTGCGTCTTTCTTCAACCCACTGGGCTTACAGACATTCACCAGTCTGGAGAGCTGCGTCTCTTTGTGCTGACCCACCTGACACCTGACGTACTACCAGTTCTCCCAGGACACAGCAGCAGACAGTAGGGCCCTGGCCCGCAGCATAGAGTGCGCTGGCTTGGCTGCCACCAGAAGAGCTGCCTCTCCTGTAGCCTGCAGCCCGCCTCCAGACCAACCCGCAGTCTGTTCACTGCATTCACCGTAGTGCAACTTAGATCTCCTGCAAAGTAAATGTCCACAGGCCGACTTCATCCCCATTCAGATTGAATGTATTTAAATGTGTGTATCTGAGGAGAACCATGCTCTTGTCCTGTTCCTGTTCGGCTCCAGACACTGGTTTCTTGCTTTGTTTTCCATGGCTATTCAGTATAAAAGATTACAGTCTTATCTAGAGGAAAGAAAGGAATTTTTAACACAGTCCAACACAAGGTGTTCAAAGCTTAAAGCCCACATTTGGTTGGGATGGAGACGGGACAGACTGTGGACAGTGCTGTGTGTGCTGACACACCTAGTCAGGGACAACCAACACCGGCAGAGTTCTATCTCCAGGAAGCCGACAGCCAAGATTGTTGGAAGGAGTGCCCAGTTGAACAGATTAGAAGGCTCCTGAAAGAGGCTGTTAACATTAACAAGTTTCTGTTCCCATTTTTCTCTGTTAAAACCAAACTAATTTCCCCTAAATCATGAATTCAAAAGAAATATTTATTTCTAAATTGTTTTTAGATCAATGAGATAGTTTGATTGGCATCTCCTCCCTTCCCCTCCCTGCCTTCTCTTGTCCCTCCCTCTTTTATTCCTTTAAAAATAAAATCATCAACAACAGCATACACCATAGAGACCAGGGAAGCCCTTTGTTTCTCTCAGTGTTGTGCCAGCCAACTCACAGCAGCTTCCCAGTGACCATGCATGTCCTGTCAGGGAGAGGAACAAAGTGAACATGGAGTGCCAGCCAGGCTGTGACACCTGCTTAGGAAGCCTGAGCTGCCCCATCAGCTCAGGTCTCCAAAATGAAAGAACATACTAATGAAATCAACGGCAGCCGTCACGACAGATCTAACCTCTGCATGTGGGTTTGTTGGGTTTTTTTGTTTGTTTGTTTTGTTTTTTAGCAGTGCTGATAAGGCCGAAGTTTTTGTAAGGTACATAAAAATCCAATTTATATGTAAACGAGCAATAATTTAAGTTCCAAACTTAAGTGTTTTAACTGTATAATTTTGTGAGGTATACATATTGTGGGATTGACTCAAAAAATGAGGTACTTCAGTATTAGATATCTTCATAGCAATGTCTCCTAACGGTGTTTTGTAAAGGCGGCCAATGCCTTGGTTAGACCTGATTTGTAGACTTAAGACCTTTTGTTTTCTAAGCCTTGAGATTCTGCTCATGAATCATGTATCTAATCTATATGAGATGCAGCCGCTGTAGGAACCAAGTCTTGATTTTATATGTTTATATTCTTTCTTAATAAACCTTAGAAAGACTACATTACTAAGCAGCCCACTTTGATGGTTGTTTTTCTTGCCCACTGTCAGGGGTAACCTTTATTAACTGGTGTCAGTTAAAGACAGCTGCAGTACCCAGAACTGAAACCTTTTCAATCCTCCCCAACCCTGAGCCACACACTTTCTTACCTAAATTTCAAAATGATGTCTTTTTGATGTCTAAAAACAAAGCATTTTGTAATATCTCATCATCCAAGCTTTCTAGGAACAGAGTTTTTCCTTGAAATTTGTTTGTCTATTCCTGGCAGGGTGAAAAACATATAAACTACCCTATTTATATTTCTATCTCCCTATATATCTATAGATTATGGAGATATAGAAAGAGACGTGACCCAAAGACAAATGGTAAATCATCTGAAAGTGCTGCTCCATGCTAAGGAACTTTCTGGAAATTTGCATTTCAATACCTTTTTCCCCTTTGAGAGGAATCTCAGTGCAGGGAGGTGGCCAAGGAACAACACTTCCCTACTGGCCACCAGTTCACGTGTCTGCTCGAGACTCCACTTTTCTCCATCAAACCATTGGCTTGCACATCTGTGCTGCAAAGGGAGCCGATGGAGGCCAGAACTCTAGGCCAGGAGTAAGGCTCAGGTGGTACACTACTGAGCTCGACCTGTCCTCAGATAAGTCTTTTGAAATGTGAGGTAGGTAAAATAACGTTCAACTTCACACAGCACAAAAGAAAATGGAATTCAAAACAGATTTGGTTTGTTTTGAATTAAATCCCATCTCACTATAACATCAGCCACAGTATCTTACCTTTCAGCGTTCATCCAATCCTCCACTGTTTTCTAATGTTGACCCGGCAGTTAGAGTAGCCCATGATCGTGACAGAAAGAGTGTAAATGCTCTCACAGGTCAGAGCAGCCACACACTGCGTTCCGTCTAATCAGGAGGATCAAGTCAGCGAAGGAGTCCAGACCATGTTCTCACAGCCAATGCCAGCCCAGTCTCCCGCCCCTGCCGTCAGTGTTCCTCATGCCCTACACAACACATTTGTACTTGGTTTTGTCTGACAGAATATAGAATCAGTGTTTTCTTAGATGACTCAATGTGAAAAGCATAATGTGAAAAGTACACACACCTGACCTTGGTTGTAAAATCCATTTAAGTGTTCATGTAACATGCTGAGTTTGAGAAGTGAAGTGTGCTGTGTCACTACTACAACCTATTCATTCGACTCAGAAATGAAAACAACACACACACACATGTATATCTCTTACAACCTGTAATGATGGAAAGCAATGGTTTTTTTGCAGTCTAAGATGCAATTTTAAAACTGTGTTTATGGAGTTCGTATGGGTGTGACACGTGAACTGAGAGGCGCAGACCCACTTGCAGAACCCAAAGATACACAATCAATTTTTGAAATGCAACTTAAGCCATTAACTGTTGGTGTGAATTTAAAATTTTCTAGTTGTTTGTATGGTAGTATGCTGCCGAAGAGCAAAGCATTCTCTGCACAAAAGAAAACACTGTAGTGGCTTCGATTTTAATTAGAACTTTCTCCCTGGTGTTTCTTTATAGACTAAAACAAAATCTTTTAAGTTTCTTACTACAGGTAAAAGCTATGTGCAAGAACCTCAAAATGCTAAAACCTAGCATAATGCCTTAGATCTGTTTTTAAGTCTTGTATATTCCTACATAGCTGTCCAATGTATTATATTTGTATAGTGAATTGTGTACAATTTTTGAATAAGTACATCATCGCTTACCCGTGTGTTATTGAACAGTGATGATGACCCATTTCTTCAAACATTTAACTGTCTTTTTTTTTCCTTTGTCATTTGTGGGTTTTATTTGTACAGTTCCTCATGAAGTTGCATCTGAGATATGTGTATATGAAAAGATTATACAAGGGTAAAATTAAGCAATATATTAACTATGGTTCTTCAGGAGAAAGCTTACAGTGTTTCAGGTTGTGATTTATTTTCCAAACAGAGTTGACTCTGAACATCACTTTGTTCATCTGCATTGATGTTTGTATTTCTAGTGTGAGCAGTTTATGCAAAGGTAGATATATTCAGAGAAATTTTAAATACATTTATGCAAGTTACTATTGCTTTGCTGATGCTATTTGCTTATTTGATGTTAAATAATGCTATTGTAAATAAAGAATCTGTTGTTACTGCATCATTTAATAAATTTTAATGCCTTCGGGTTTTACATGGCTTTAGAGATTTTAATGTGGTGATACAGTATCTTCTTTTATAGTTTAAACTTAAAAATACCCAAGAACTACTACTAGCTGCTCTTTCAAAAGACCCAGGTTCGATTCCTATACCCACACATCATCTAAAATCATCTGTAACTCCAGTTCCAGGAGATCCAACCCCTTTTGCTCTTACAGGCATTAGGACATGATACCATTTTCATGCAAACAAAACACCTACAGACATAAAAATTTTTTTAAAAAATTAACGACCTTATCTTTTAAGAATTTCTTGGTGCCTTTAATCCCAGCACTTGGGAGGCAGAGGCAGGCGGATTTCTGAGTTCGAGGCCAGCCTGGTCTACCGAGTGAGTTCCAGGACAGCCAGGGCTACACAGAGAAACCCTGTCTCGAAAAACAAAACAAACAAACAAAAAAAATTTTCTTGGGTTGGGCATGGTGGTGCACATCTTTAATCCCAGCACTCTGGAGGCAGAGGCTGGTGGATCTGCCCAGTCTATAAAGCAAGTTCCAAGATAGCCAGGGCTGTTGGAAAAACCAAAAAAGGGGGGGGGGGGAATTTTTTGGGAACTGGAGCGATGGCTCAATATGCTTATTGCTTTTACATAGGAGGCATCTTCAGTTCTCAGCACCCAGGTCAGGAGGCTCACAACTGCCTGTCACTCCATTTCCAGGGGATCCAGTGCCCTTTTATGGCCTCTACAGACAATACATTCAGGTGCACATGTGAATACATGGAGAAACACTCATGCCCATAATTAAAAATAAGTTTAAAAAATGGCAGTTGGCGGTTACAACTTACCCTCCCAGAGAAGCCAGGAAAGTATATCCTAGTTGACAATACATAACACTTTATGGTAGCTGTAGCCTGTATATTCTGTACTCCAAATGTTGCAGTCCCAAATCACAAACTTTATATTTATCTATGTGTATGTGCAGGAATTGGTTCTCTCCCTCCACTATCTAAGTCCCGGGAGTGGGACTCAAGGTCACCAGGCTTGGCTGGTGAGCACCTTTACCATCTGAGCCATCCCTCTTTCTCCCAGCCCACTAACTGTTTATGAAGATGGCAAATACTGTTTCCTGGCTTACTGGGGTTGGTTTGGTACCAACAGGTGGATAGTGTAACTACAGCATCTCCAACCCTCCTAAATTGCATGCAATACTAGAGGCCCAGTTCAGTGTTTCCTTCTCTGGCATGGAGGAAACATTTACCATTGCAGGTGGTGAACCAAAGATGACTGCTAAAACAGCGCTGCTCCTGCTGCTGCTGCTGCTGCTGCTGCTGCTGCTGCTGCTGCTGCTGCTGCTGCTGCTGCTGC